TTCCTGCTGGTTGCGTATTTGTGAGGTATTTTCTTGCCCTCTCAACACACATCTAAGGACCCATGAGAGAAAGAGATTGTCGTTAAAGTGCATGAAAAGAAAGAACAGGGAAACAATCAAAACCGTGTAGCAAAAACAGAGGATTTGACCATATTGATAAGCTGAAACCACCAAGCAAAATATAGATAGATTTCTTTTTCATAATGTAGTAACTGACTCTTAGAACTCCATGGATATTCCAGTTCCTAATGGGGATATTTAAAAGAGAATTTTCAAACCAACAAGAATCTAAGAGCAAATATCAACATATTTTCATAAGCAAGCACGTGGATAAAAACATGAGGTTATGTAACTACAGTACACATCCATTGTTACATCCTACGTTTTTTTTAATTAACAGAGTTTGTGAATTTAAGCAATATAAAGAATATCCACCTATTTGAGTTCACTACAAACATTTAAAGAAGATAAAAGTATAACAGAAGAAAAACCTGCTGCAAATAAGTCAGCACACAGAGAAGAAGAAAACATGCATCAGAACCATGGCCTACCTTGGAGAATGAGATTTTATGCGACAAGATCTCGCATTTTCTTTGATAGATTGGTGAACTGGAGACTTTTGAATGCAATAATTCCAGCTGGAAGATCTAGAATAAAAACCAGAATAAACCGACACAAATCAGAAGATAAAACTTGAACTATTCATAAAGTATTGGCAGATTTATCAGTCATCCAACCAGAATGATGTTTCCCTCGAAAATATGAATGGAAGTGTGAAGTGTTGTTTAGTGACATACTGTAGGACAAGTTGACAGAGTAAAATCGATTTCCTGAGATATTTTTCTGGCCTCTTCTGCATAATCCTACATGGAAACACATAAGAAAGACATAAAAATAATGGTAACAAGAAGGATTTATTCTCAAGGAAAACTGAAACACCTCATGAACATGGTTAACCTTTAATTTAAGATGACAAGGATGAATGCAAGGAGTAGGATTAACGCCCAGTAACTCATCAACATACTCCAATAGCATTTTCTCTGAATCATGGTGGAGTCTGTATTCAATTTTTGAAAGACAGTCTGTAACAGCTTCAGCCCATTCCTTTGCTTCCATCAAACTTTTTGCAACATCTCGTACCTGTATGACATCAATAGAAAAGGTTTTTTCCAGAGTCTACCCAAAGAGTCAAAAGCAAAACACTTCCTACTGAAATTTAAAACTTACACGGTCCATCTCTGATCCAGCCCAAAGAAATTGTTCAGCTTCCTCCAACAGGGTAGCAAATTCAACACTAGAAAAGGCATCTTGGAGAACCTTACAAGCTCGAACAAGCCACTCTTCAGCTAGTTGTCCCTGTGTACGATGTCCCTGTTCCGCCTGCTAGCATCAGGAAAGATACAAATCATCCATTACCACCTCTGGCCCATATAACCATGCACCACAGATGAAAATAGAGCGACAGTTGAATAAATATCAATGCAAAAAAGTTACTATCAATACTCATTTACAAATATATTTAAATACAAAGGTCAGTGTGGCACATAGAAAAAATGCTGTCACTACTAGAAAATACAACAAAGAGTACACCTACACAGAAGTACAGAACAATGTTCAGAAATGGTACTACGGCAAACCATTACTTTACCTTTTTGTTGAAAGCAACTGATCGATTGGCACCTGGATTCTGCTCCTGCGAATTTTTCTTATTACCTTCTTGTGTTTCCAAGCCAGATTTTCCAACTGCTTGGACCAGCCCATGCAATTGTGCTAGGGTATAACGATAGACAAGACGCAACTTCCTTGGTTCACATTCACAAAGGTGCTTCCAGTGCTGCATTAAAGAATAAACATAAACATTCAAAAGCCATAAACAAGAGGCTTAAAAAAAAAACACATTTATAATGTAATGCAACTATGGCACACATGTCAACAACCATCAGCATTTCCTGTACTAGTAATCTAACCTTCCTATAGATATGTCTGTCCAAGAATTTGGATTCAGATATTTACCTCCAAGCATGCAGAAGCAGATGGCCTGCAACAGCAGATGACTGCAGAAAGATGAAGAAGCTGCTTGCAGATGATGCATGTTGGATCCTACAAATATCATCATAAGTTCTCAAATCAGGGCATTATTTTACACAGGCTAGAACCAAAGAGTGGGGGTAAATGATTTACCTCTTCAGTGCCCACATATTCAGGACATTTGCGAGGAGACATGGGAGAAGATCTCAAAATACCACTTCTCTGGAGCCGCTCTCTCCAGTTTTTCTCCTTGGTATACATTCTCAGCAATTCTTTCTTCAAATGTGTTGACACTTTGATATTATAATCGCCTTGCTGCAGAAGATAACCAAATCAAATAAGTAGCAAAAGTATCCACATTTAGCATACATTGTTTCACTAGTAATCCAAGGTAGATATTTTCTTACAATGGTTTATTCCACAACATCCAATAAAATTTCAAATCGTGTCTCTTCAAGTATATATGTTTGCAAATTGCATTATTCAGTCTGATCAAGGGTCGTGACACTATCATACTAGTCAGTTCAGAAAACTATAGTTTAGTTTCTTCCATCATAAGGAAAAAGAAAGAGCGGTAATCAATTAAAAGAAACAAAGTCCATAAGCAGAAGTTGCCAGCTTGGAGTACCGGCCTCGAGCGATTGCAACAACTTGATATGACCATTTGACACAGACAGAGAATGAAATAAGCATGTATATTCCATTCTCTAAAGTTTGTATGAAAGAAGTTCCATAGCGTATAAAAACTGCAAAATATCTTGACATGAGCTATGCATGCATGCATCATACAGTTCAGCTGCTTGATATGAGCTAATAAACATTTTAGTTCTTGCTCGGTAAACCAGCAGTCAATCGTATACCTTAGCTACCACACATAGAAGCTCCTCATGAGATATAACTGCAACTTTCCGGTACAGCTTATACAGCTCCGCCCCAAACCCACCATGAGGTAACCAATCAGCAGGGGCAAAATTGACAGCCTCTGCGCAATTTAAACCTGGAAGAACAACATAGACTAGTAATTCTGTAAACAAGTGATGATTATGCACTGAAGTCCATCGAACTTGGCAAGGAATTTGTTCGAACGCATTGAGACATGAGTAGTTCACATAACTGTGCATAACTTGCATTAGAGTTAGCATACCAAAATTGAATCCTGCATGATAGGATCTTGGGAATGTGATGACGAAATTTCCAGGCTCCTAAAAGTGAGTAAAAGCAGAGGGACATGGTTGGAAGCGATAAACGAGTTTTGGAAAGAGTTGCAACAAAATTCATAAATAACTTCCAAACTTCTCACAGTAGTACGAACAATAAAAAAAATTCATGCATTAACTATATCCTGGTATGTCAAACCTGTAGTACAGTGTATACTGGAACTCTATTTTCTTGCAAAACAGTCGGACTCAACAAGGTAACCAACTGAAATAGCAGGTCTGGCTGAGCGTCAAAAAGATCGGGAAGGGTTTTCCGCATGACCTACAAAAAAAACCAGACCATGAGAACACGATACAATTGCTTCTGGAAATAACTATGTGTACATATGATGCCAAAAAACCTTATTCCTAATTTAAAATAAGAACTTCGACAGACTGTGAAGAACCTGCCAGAAATTACCGATACAAATCGCAGAGATTTATACCCCTCTGAAGAGTAAAAATGAACTAACCTTTTCAAATGCACTAGCTTCATTGCCTGGGACACTGTACCAACATTTTGCTTCTCCCCTGATGTGTGAATCAAAATGAAGCTGGTAATAGCATCTCTCGAGATAAAAGGTACAAATAACATACATAAATTAATAACTACAAAGTACTGGCCCTAAGACAGTACTTGATGACCATATACAGCCTTATCGAATTTCCTGAGTTTCCTAGAAATATGACAGTGACATAGGAAGATCCTATTGTATAAAATTTGTTCTCATATAAAAATGTCACTTTTTGTCAGAAAGATCTTATTGCTTGGACCATCAAAACATAAGACAAGTAGAAGAGGAAGACTGAGAGTTCCAAGAATCAAAATAAAGCAAATCTCTATATGCTTCATAACGATGGCACATTACAGTAGAGGTACATACCAGTGTAGGTAATTCACAGAGTAAAAGCAATGATCCTCAAAATGCCAACAAAAAGAAGAGAAGAGCATTCCAACGTACAACCAAGGCACAGTGACACCATTGATATTAGAATGAATTGCCTGAAGCATTGATCCTTTTGACTTAGGCAAGTTATTAAGATTCCAGGGGCTTCCACAGTATTCATTCCATATCTCTGCCTCAACTGTCTCAGGTTTTTGGTCATTGTTACGAGGAAAACCACTTCCATAAAGAGAAGTATCCAAGTCATTACCATACAAAACTTTCACCTCATTAGCTGACCCATCTACTATCTCCCAAAACTTCTTCTCTATCTGCATCCTGGACACAGACCCTGAACCAAACCACTTCCTTTTGGCACGATCAGCAATGCGCTTAAAATCTTTGAGCAGTAAGCATTTACCAGGCACAAACCCAAAACTGTCTTCATCTGAGTTTAAGCACTCGAGGCAATACCAATTCCCAGGTGGAATTTGATTCAGTGGTGGTGAGAGACAATAAATATGCCAACCCTTGTTACACCTATCACACAAGAGCATTAGATCCCCATGCAATCCACTTTTACATTGTTCACATGCTTGATCAAGGTCCTCTTCAACTTCTGACTTACAGAGCTTCACTTTTTCTACATCACCATTTTTTTTATTCCTCTTTGAGATAGGAAACTCAAATCCATGCCGAACCCTCTCAGCACCATGCACTCCCTTTTTGCAGCCCTTCACAGCATCTTTGTCCAATCGGTTGTGATAATTCTCATACTCGTACAAATGCTCTTTGTACAACCGACATAGAACATGCTTAGCACACTCCGAAATCTTTTCCCCAGAACCCAGGAATTGGAAAACTTTAGCCCACTTTTTCCCTTTGATAACCTTATCATAACCTCCAAACCTCTTCACAGCATTGAACAGCTTACACAAATCCAACTCCTCTCCGACGAAAATCACCTTCTTCTTGAGCTTCTTACCTAAATGCTCTTCCAAAAATCTATTATACTCCAACTCAAATGTCTTCGGATCACATGAAGCAGGACGAGCCTGCAAACGATGAATCTCTTGGGTTTTCGTAGGGAACCTAAAAGATTCCAAGTTCAACGCAAACGGAGGCTTCCAACTCTCTGGCGGAACAATTTTGCAAATCCCATACAACTCAGCTTCTGGTCTGATCTTGTCTATATAATCTAATGGCTCCTTGAATTCCTCTTCAGTGGGATAGTAAACCGGGCCAGACGGCAAATTCAGCGACCCATTCGACGGCGATAGACTAAGTTTCTGATCCAATACTCTCTTCTCCACTGCCCTAACTCTACCTTTTCCCATCGCCAACACCTTCACTAAAACTACAATCGCAATACATACATAAAACCTACAAACACGACCTTAAATCCGTTCAAAGAAGGCCAATATCGAAACCCTAGACAAAAACGAGAGCGGAAGGAAAATGAATTGTAGGGTTTAGCAAATACCTTGAGTTCTGAGTAGAAGAAACAGAGCTCACATACTTGCAGTTGCAGTTGCAGAGGAGCAAGAATTTTCTTCAAGACGCATTTGGCTATGGATGAAAAAAGAGTAAAAAGTCGTTAGATATATATAGATATCTATATCTATATATATGTATGAACCCCTGATGAATTTACGAAACTGGGTTCTGGATAATAGAGGAATTACAAAACATGACGAAACGCCTTTTCTCGTCGCGCCTGTCGGACGAGGACTTGGTGCCGGTCTAAATATCTATGGTCAGAATAACTACGTGACGTTTATACTAATTAAGAACGCACTGCGTGTAGGTTCGTTCGGCCCAAATTTTGACCCAAATGTTTATGGGTCGACAATTTTGGCCCAAATGTTTTTGTTCCCCAAGTCTAATACTATAATAGAACCTGCATCGCATGCACGGATTATCAAATAACATATGGTTTTTTTGTTGAAACAAATAACATATGGTTACTTACACCATTGTACTTATGTACAGGAATAAATTATAAAAAGGGGCATGAGTATGATTTCGATGGAGACATACATATATATTTAAGAAATATATATTATATATGAGTGAGTAATACTAATTTTATAAATATTCAAATGCATAAGTTCTCAAGCATCCGTTATTTTTTGAAATTGAAAGTATTTTATGTTTATCTAGCTTTTACCAGATCATAGTTCGTGCATATCTTTTCATTGCTCCAGTTGCTTATTATAAATTTATAATCGTTAATCAGCTTGCCTTCATTTCCAAAATAGTAAAGGACTTTATCAAAAAAAAATAACAACAAAGGAACATATGAAAATTCTAAAAAAATATAAGGGCCCAACCGGGTTCGAACCGGTGACCTCTTGATCTGCAGTCAAATGCTCTACCACTGAGCTATGGACTTATTAGAACGCTTTTAAAGTTAATTGAAATCCATTAATCCAATCACCTTTTCCACGGGAGATTTTCAGATGACGGAAAAGAAGGAAAAAGAGGAGGTCCGAAGCTTGGTAACGCTCCATTGGGATTTCAAAATTCGATCTCGGTGAAGTCTGTGCTGAGGCCATGAACAATTGAAGAATCTGGCATTTTTTTATTACCGTCGGAGATGCTTCGATTCCCTGTCCATGCCGTCCTTGTTAAGTACGGGTTCGGAACGAGGTCATGATTTGGATTTTGGGTCATGATCGATTAGCAAAGGTTACTTGGAAGAATTTTAGATCTTGCAGATTGAGGATGTTGCGTCTTTTTTTCCTGGAGTTTAAAGAGTAGCCTTGTAGAAATTGACCATCTTCTCTGGCTTTTTGACTCTAAGTGATCAGCTTTTTCGGCGGATTGTCTGATCTTCACCTTTCAGTTCAGGACATTGATTCTTTCATTTTGTTGACTTTTGATCAGCAAACTCAAATGGGTCATCTTCCTGAAACGTATGTGTAATGTATCGGCTATCAAGTTTCAATCGAAGAGCAAGAGGAAATTTCCGCTGTGTGGATGAACGAACTGATTGTTCTTAGTGACGTACTCGCGTTTTTCTGCCAGTTATCACATTACTATTCCATGGGTTGCCGCTCTCTGCATACAGGAGGAGTGTTTCTATAAATAGTATACGAGTTTTTGGTCAACTGAATTGTGCATCATTAAAGGTTTTGTTGCAGGTGTGAGACCAATCTTCAACCTGGCGACGATTCCACTGTGAGAATCTGAGGAGAAAACATCAGCTAAGAAGCATGTCAGAAATCAATCTAATGCCTGTTTGACACTGTATAACGTTATTTACAACTGCCTCTTCTGTTCTCAGACAGGAACTGCAAAGGGTCATGAGAAAGAGATCTGCCCATCCGAGCCGAAAAGAGCTGTTTCCATGTCGGGAAACCGCGAAAAGACATACCTCATGACACCTGCTTTCATAAGGAAAATGATGCAGGAAACCACAAGTAACATGCCCTCTTCACCTGAGAGAACAGGGAAGGATAACATGGAGACGTAGTAGAAGAAAATTTCTCAAGAGCGGGAAACCAGCCTGACAAAACTGTTGGTGGATTACCTAAGGGGAGGAGAAAATCATGGACCAGCCTTAAGGAAATCACTGAGCAAGAGAAAGCTCTTCACTTGAAGATACCCTTCTTTTGTGATATACATTGAGATCTGAGTTCCCTTATGTTCCCTCTGTTTCTGACTATGCTTTTCTTCAAAAAGGCTACTGTTTCATAGTTTTTATACCATGAAACTTTGAACTTTCCTCTCTCTCTCTCTCTCTAAAACAGTGTTTTTCTTCTTCTGCATTTACTATGCAGTGATGCTCTTCTTCTGGCTATTCTTCTTTTCTTTGCTTTTAGAAATTACTATGATTGCATCTTTTCTTTTTCGTTTTTTCGTTTCCTTCAAGGCCACTTCTCAGAATCATCGATTGGTCTTTGATTGTTTCTTTTAGCTCACACTTTCCAAGGTTGGCTTAGAATGCAAGTGATGTAAAGTTTATCACTTTCCAATCATTTTGTGTTAGCTTTTGTCTCTTGCTTTCATTACAACACCAAACATCTGATTCCTATGTTACTTGGGTCTTTAGATCCTCGGTTATATTGTAGCTGAATGATTGACTTCTCCGTGATGATTTGTAACTCGTTGGCTTTGCTTTTTCATCTGCAATTCTGGATTTCTGCTGCGGGGAAACTAATGTTATGGTGTCTGAATCTGCAGTCTTGATGATCTGTGACTGTTTTCTCAAGAAGTTGTGGACAGATTGAGATTTGCTCATATCCTCTTTTGCACCTCAACTTCAGCATTATCCGATCAAACCTCGTGTAAGTGATATGCCATGCCGTTTTCTTTTTGCTCGTGATCTTTATCCATGGTGCTTTTCAGTGTTTCTTAGCTTCTCTTCTGCACTATGATCCAAATCTCCTTTGGTCTTTCTCCAATCTTCAGTCCATTGAACAAGTTTTTCGTATTAATGCAGGTGTTGTCGAGGCTTCTGCTGATACTTGAACTCGTTGATGGGAATAGAGATTCGTTGATGTTATCTCATCGAAAGCAGAGATGATGGCTCAGAGTTCTGAAAATGTTCTTCCCACTCTTCGCGATTTTTTCAATGCTGAAAAGACCGTGCATTCTCGACGGATCTGCAGAGATGATTTCCCCGGGGAAACGGAAGGATTTACAGAAATTCCTTTCTATCAAGCTCTCGGTTCCTCATGCAAAAAAGTTCCTCCAAGATCTTCCAAGCCAGCAAATACTGTAAAAGAGAAACGAGGTTTCTCGTATCAGAGCAGAGAAAAAATTTCTACAGCTTCTGGTGGTTCTTTTGGGATCGGGTTGAACTCCAAAGGGAGACAACAACAATTAGCTCAACCTTTAGGTACAGACAGAAACATGGAACCAAGGTTGCAGAAGTCATATTCTGCTAGAGTTGGGTTTCCGTTTCTGTCTTCTTCAACAGAAAGCGACAGATCATCATCTTCAAATGCAAGCTCAACAAATTGGATTAGCCGAATCAAGAAAATGGCTAATCCATTTGCAAATCTTCATTCTCGGCGGAATCCTTCAATGCCTCCCTCAGGTGATATCAAGGTCAGTGGTGGAGAAATGCTGTCAAGGAACAAGATCTCGAGAAAATATTCACCAGTGCATCTGCATGCCCATCTCACTTTGGAATATGAACTCGGAATGCCTGTTTTCAAGTTCTCGCTGGACCGCCCGGATGATGTTTACGTTGCCAATGCATGGAGGGATGATAATAACGTCTCTCAGTTTGTCTATTTGTTTCATAGCATTGGTGGAAGAAGGAACAGATATGTCAATGAACAAAGATCGAAGTTTTCAGGTTTAGAATCAGCAATGATCGGACAGATGCATGTTTCCACTCGGATTTGCTTAGATTCAGACCCGGAGGAAATCCCTCTGAAACCAGCCATGACAGAGTTCGTGTTGTGTGACATCGCACATGCCCTGAGAAGCCGCCATGAACAAGAGAAGCTGACACGGAATGACAGTTTCAGACAAGGCCGAGGGGCGGATTGTTCGAATGAATCGAACCCATGGCCGGTCTCCGATTTACATCCAGGCCTTGAGATTGCAGCCATTGTCATTCAGGACCAGTCTTCGAGTGATGAAAGCTTCGGAAACGTGAAAAACTATAGACTTTCCAGACGAGAAGTGAAAGTAATCGTTCCTACCGGAAACCATGGCCTACCCAACACCGAAAACTCTTGTCCTTTACCGATACTGCAGAGGTGGAGATCTGGGGGAGGCTGTGATTGCAGCGGATGGGACATGGGTTGTGACCTTTTCGTTCTTGAATCTTCCGGCAACAATCCCAACTTCTTGGAACTTTTCATCCAGGTGAGATTTTATTTTCGTGGTAAGTTTAACATACTGTGAGTCATTTTGTTTCTGGATACCAGATGTGTGAATTACTGCAAATGCAGGGTAGGAAGGAGAACACAGCGGCAATGACAATGGCGTTGGTCGGAGAAGGAGAGTACGAGGTAGATTTCCACGCAAAGCTCTCATCTTTACAAGCGTTCTCCGTCTGTGTTGCCATTTTGCACAGAGCTCAAGTCTCGGCAACAATGGCGGCGTTCTCCAGATGCACTTCACTGAGAGAGCTTATCGACATGGAACCTCAGGAGATCCCTCCTTCCTTCATCCCCAACCTGACGTTTTCTCCCATCTCCCGGGTTTAGATTCTTCACAAGTAATCTCTCTCCCTCTCTCTCTCTCTATACATGTGTATATATGCATACCCAGAAGGCCTTCAATGGAGGAATCTACATCACAGTTCAAGAAGATTATGGCCTTTGAGAAAGTATATAGGCTTTAGCTGCACCGCCATTGGTTGTACCCGTTACTATATGAAGCGCTCCTCTATTATAATAAAAAAAAAAGTAGATTTATTTAAAAACCACGAAAAAAATAATTAGTTGCTAATTTTTCCCTTTCTTCTTAATAAAAGTTGCCAGAAACATTAATTTTTATATAATGATGTTTACTTATATCTATAAAAAAAATAAACCGCAAATTTTTATATTTTTAAGGCTTTAATGATTTTAAAAATTTCAGAACATGGGTATTTATGTTTTTTCGAACGACTAACATCATTTCTATACTTAGTGTATTATAACGTGAAAATATTTCCAATTTGATATACAATTTACAAATCAGTTAATTGTGCATTGATATATGTCATTGTAGTACTAGTCCTTGCCTAAACCGGCCCGGTTAAGAATATAATGGGCCAAATAACCGGTTTGGTCTCTGGATCAGGATCCGGGCCAGCTTAGCCCAGCTACTCGGCCCCGTCGTGTAATCAATCATGCCCTAGTGGTTATATGTATTTTCATGTTTTATACATTAAGCTTTTAGATGTTGTAGTGCTTGATGTTTAGGGTTATTTGCTAATTCGAAAATTTTGATTTAAATCATAGTAACCAAAATAAAACACGTTCAAATTTGAATCCATATGATTATGGATAAATTTCAAGAAACAAAAGTGGGAATGTGAATCCATATCACAATGGACAGATTTCAAGAAACAATGTGTAAATAAAAAAGTTCATAAATTGCATAAAAAAAAATAATTCTTTCTATTTGATATGAATTTTGAGATGAAGATTTGGAAAATAATTTAATTTTTTTTAAGGGCTTTTATGATATTTTTTTGCTAGGGGTGTGTGGGGGCTTATTTTTATTTGTCGATGTTTAAATGCATGTCTGATATTTTTATTATTTGTGTTGTCAATATTTTAATGTCTTATATGGTCCACAGGACCACATAATTTATAACGAATCTTGTTAGTATTTATATGCATTAATTGGACCGATCGCCTGTATAAAGTAAAACTAATTATTCCACTCCTCTGGTTTTGGAATGAGTTTTTCTTTTAAAAATCGATTATATTAAAAATTGTACATAAATCTCTTCTACGAATCCACAGTTTTTACCTTAATTTATCGTTAATGAATAAATTATATGTAATTTTCGTGTTTAATTATATGTTCATCATCCAAGGAACGTGGGAAAGAGTGGTGGAGTAAATAATTACAATTTTTTTTTTTTTTGCAAAAACGAGAGGATGTACTTTCACCAAGTAATTATATATCGCACAGTAAAAGTCCGCTTTAACTACGCACGTGTAACGGTAATCAATCGTCAAAGAATTAACTGTTTTATTTATGGTCGATGATTGGGCCAAAAAATCTATTTTTCTAATTAAATTTTTTAGTTTCCATATATAAATACATGTGAGCTACATATATCTTTTCAGAATATATATAGTGTCTATACGCCATGTGGAATGTCCAATATTTCACATGCTAGTCAAATGTTTTATACTTTATATTAAAAATGAATATCTCCAAATTCTATATAGATTATTATATATTGTGAACAATGTTATCTTGCAAAATTATGATATGTAAACCCTGTCTCGGGATGGAAATAAAGCAATATTTAAGATCAATCTTTTATCGTTTTGTGCATTGATTCAAAGATGAATTGAAATTAATATAAATATGTAAGGTTTAAAGATATCGATTTATAGTTGAACGTCATTTAGAATACCTTATATTTAATAAAAAAATATGCTATATAAAAATATTGTGATAGTTTGTAAAAACTGTTTATAAATAGTTTTTCTCAAATAAAACGATTTTAGTACCGTTTCTTATATCAAATTGAAAGCTGATGTAAAAATATATATAAAACATATTTTATATCTAGATGTATGTATCTTGTGGATTGATCTTTTATTATGGAAATATTGAACGTAAAAGAGCATTAATTTGTGTGTGTGTGTGTGTATATATATATGCGAGTGTGCATATGTGTGTACTGTCTTAATGATGCATGGTATGATTGTCCTGGTTGCAAAGTTCATATATCTATCCATATGGAGTAAAAAAAAATGTGTATCAGACTCTCTCTTTTAATCTTGGACTTTCAAGTTTGTACAATATATATATATACACACATTATAAATTGGTTAAATTCTAAAAAAAAGTTTATTTTTAAATATTTTTTAAAAGTTGTATAGTTTTTAAAAGAAAATTGTTTGCCTATTTTATAAAAAAAATACCCTAGTATTTTATGACATAGATTAATACGGTATGATTAGGGTATTGAAAAGACCTAAAAGTGTGTTCAAACGTCACTACACTCCATATGACCCAAAAAAAAAATAAAAAATGCTAAATTGGTTAGTCCCTGATTTGGGAGTTTATTCGTTTTTATATTTATATATATATATATACTATGAATTATTATACTATAAAAATTGGGGAAATATTATGAATATAATTATTGTTGGTTCAATGGAGAAATGAGGGTGAGTGGCTCTTGCTGACATTGTTATTAATGCTAATCAAGTGAAGTGGACCACGAAAATACAATGGACTGTTTTCCATGCATTTAATGCGAGCATCTCTATCTTTGATTTTGCTTACTTTTTTTTTTGTTCTCATTAAAATAATTTGCAAAGAAATATAAAATAATTTTTATTTTAGTATTTTAGGGTTACAATATATATGTACATATATATATATTGATATTGTTACAGCAAATTACCAGTAATAAAAATAATATTGATCAAGTATACGCAGACTAATGGCAAAAGAAAAAATACATTCCAATATCATTTGTTGTTGTTTTTTGTTTAAACTCTACATTTTTTATTCAAAATATTATGTAATATTGTTTACATTTGTTTGGATAAAATTAAAATAAGTTCAAATCAAATGATATATAATTATATTTTAATCCAATTCTTTTTAAAAAATAATCAAAGGAATAAGTTGAATATAAAAATAATAAAAAAAATCCGTTATCACACATAAAAACTGATATAATTCCAACTTAAATTTATTTTCTTCCCCAATTTAATACATAAAGAACAAAATCACATTTGAAAAAAAACCCCTTATATTAGTGGAATTTCCCAAATTAGGGAGACAAAAGTCAAAATGTCCAATTGTCCCCGTTTCATCAGTCCATAAAATTTTTGGTCCCTATGTCTCCACGAAGTTCCAAAATGCCTTTAATTTCCTCGCAGAAATAAAATGTTTATTTAAACAAAAAAGATACAGGAGAAAATAAATATAAGGAAACAACTATTTTGTCGTTTACTATTTAGACATTTAATCTCATCATAATTAATAATTATTTCCCATTTTTCGTTGGCACGACTTCTTACATTTAATTCTAAATGCATAATTACTTTTGTATGTTGATATTGTACCATTATTAATATCCGTCCCTCTTCACCTATCTATCTGCTGGTGCTGGGCCAAGTTTACTATAATCTCTCATATCTTATATAGTTTCATATCTTATTTTATTTTATTTTTTAAAAATTGCCCTCATTTCCATTATTAATTATCTACTTATCCGATCCGTATCATTTTGTTGCGTAATGTGATGTTCTTTCTTCCTTGTCTGAATGCTAACTATATAACATTTTCCGAATCGTATAATAACTACTTATTTTTCTTAAATGACTGCGTAATATTCAAAACATATTATTTAATACAACATTTATTCAAATTTGATGTTCATACGTATAGACTAGCTAAACTCGAAAATATCTAAAAGTAAAAGTAAAATTTAAAATAAATCAAAGTATTTTATAGTTTTTGAGAATTTGTTAGCATTCAGACAAGCTTACTTTTGAATTCGGAATCATGTCCTGATATTTAAATAGCATTTTTTTTTCATTATCAACCGAATTAGCTACAGAATCAGTATTTAATTCATTCATTATATATAAAATAGCGATATATTAAGCTTTAGTGGGTTCTTGATTAATTATAGCGTAGAGTGGGACTATTAATATAGGGCTAAGAATCTAATGTTTCGTCACTAATACACATGTTAAATTGGTAATTAGGGCATCATCAGTAGGTTTTAATGACGGATTAATTAACGTTGCCCTTGTAATCATAATTATCCTCTCTCTCTCTGTGTCTATATATATATATATATCGCATATGATTAACTAGGCTTAAGCCAAATCTGTAACTTTCCACGTTGCCCTTGTAATCAGTATTTGACTTATGTTATTATATTCTGTATACATTATACATATATATATATACGTATATATACATACATACACGTGCTTGCTTTTGAAAGACAGAAAGGACGATTTTTTTTTACAACATAATTGAGTTGGGCATCGATCACGTGTTCGATTTCTGTGTAACCTTTTTTTTTCTTGAATGTTTTTCTAGTGTTATAAGTACGACGTTAGTATTAGTATTCTTTTTATAATTCGAAAATTCACCGGAATTAATTTTAATCCAATCCAATTATATTTTTTAGACACTCTCTACATTTAGATTTGAACATATTCTATTGTTATCATTTAAATTTGGGTGACGTTAGTGTTAGTATTAGTAACGTTTAACTATTAGTATTACTTTTAACAAATTACACTTGTGTGGATTTCATTACTAGTCACGGCACCTAGATACAAGTACTTGCGTACGGTTTAAAGCAGTTAACAACATATTATAACTATATATATATATATATATATCATATATATGTATATCAGAATATATTATTAGATTAGAAATTTCTGTGAAATATCTTTATCAGACATATTCTCTGTTTGTATGCATATTTTGTGGTTAAACAATACAGATGAAAAAAATTAATCTCTTCATATTTTAATATAGTATAAGCTAGGGCATATATTTATGTCTTTATTTAGATTCTGAATTGATATCGATACACCGGATATTTTAGTTGATATATACTATACATATATATATATATATATATCCATGTGTGCGTATATATATATATATTTATAATATCTATATTTATAACGCTCTGGATGGACCAAACATGTCTCTCTTTTATGTGATGCGTAAATGTAATATCAATTAATACGGGGTTTTTATTTTTTTAGGTGTTAATTAAAACCCTTTTATATTTTGCAACATTTCGTAGGTCCAAGAGCTCAATGCCTAAATAAATATGAACATATATATTCATATAAAAAAATATGAACATATATATATATATATATATACACGCACCCATGCACATGACACGGTGAAAAATAAATAACATTAGGAATCAAAATAAGCTTGTCTGTCTGTCTCGGAAAGCCCTTCGAGGCCAAACATTAATTTCTTGTCTTTCTCTGTGTTACTCCAATTTTTGTTTTATTTTTTGTTTAGGATAGCAATAAAAATTATTCTGTCTATGACATTTGACCCATCTTTAGGTTAAATTTAAAAAAAAAACGCATATAAATACTTGAATTTTTACAAAAGTCCTATACAAATATTTAAACTATAAAATTTCCATATAAATACCTGAACTTTTTTAAAATCGTATATAAATACCTAGACTTTTGAAAAACTCCCAAATAAACTCAAAATATGTTAATAATATCACCTATTTTTATTTGAAAAATACTTGAAATTTGTATTTATTTGAATTTTTTTAAAAATCTAGGTATTTATATAGAATTTTTAAAAATTCAAGTATTTATATGGAAGTTTTATAGTTCAGATATTTATATGAGATTTTTGTAAAAATTCAGATATTTATATGTTATTTTCCTCTGAATTTACCCAATTGCAACGTGTAATTTTCATACTTCACAAGAAGCCGACTACAAGTGTTTCGTCATAAAATCATATATTTTAAGTCAATCTCCATGTATAATGTGTGTGTATATATATGTTTGTGATTTTGTGAGGGTGGTTTTTTTCATAAATAAGAAATAAAATAATAAAAATATTTATTGCTTTACTTTGGCCATATTTACAGTGGTGGTAAATAAAAACTGGCTATACACTGTTGTAAAAGTTTATTTAATTTCCCTTTTACAAAATATTTTCCCGAAAAGAGCATCGTGCATGGAAGACCACTCACCTTTACCTTTTTTTTTCCTTTTTACTGCCCGAAATCCTTTTTTTAAATGTGTATGAAATCCATTTTCTTTTTTGAAAATTCCAATTTTAAATTTTTCATCAATTTCAGTGTTGATACATCGATATAGAGATATAGATTCTGGCAGAGTACGAGTCTTTAACTCTTCAAGTTGAAGCAAAAAAAAAAAAAAAGGACATTAACTTATTAATTTATTTAATGTTATTTCCCCCGGACGAGAAAAAAGGTGCGACACGTCAATCTTTTATCTTTAAATTAAAATAGCAAACACTTCTCGGTTGTCTTTTCCGGCGGAAAATCACGTCGTGGAATCACAACTCAAAACCTTAAAAGAACCCCGGTCTGGGGTTTCCCCTTGTCTCCGATACAGTGATATTGTATCGTTGATACTTCTGCATACCCAAAAGAAAAATGTAAAAAAAAAAGTTTTTTTTTGTGTATATATGCAAAATCTTTACATGATCTTTGTTTGACCCCCCCCTCTCCCCCAGCAAATCTGATTTTTTTTTTATTTTTTCTGATTCTGGGTGAATCTTCAATGGCGATGCAGAGATGAAGAAACAATGGTCGCCGGACAAAACAGAACGGTGCCGGAGAATCTAAAGAAACAGCTTGCAGTTGCTGTTCGAAGCATCCAATGGAGTTACGGAATCTTCTGGTCTGTCTCTGCAACTCAACCAGGGTACGTCATCAATCTTCCTTTAACCCTTTTTTCCCTTCTTTCCTTGTTTTTTCCCAATTTAGATACTTTTTTCTCGTCGTTTATTTCAGGAAAGTTCTTGTCTCGTTAATTTCAGACTTCTATAATTAGATAGAGACACAGACAGTGAATCTTCTTGCTTTGTCCGGAACTGGGTTTGATTTTTTTTTTTTTTGGAGTTTCTTTTGACTTGCAGAAGAAAAATTACTAGATTCTTGAACCGAATCTGAAACTTTTTAACCTCAAACTCGATAATATTTATGGGTTTATTTGTCATAAAACACAAGATTCTCGTTCAAAGTTCATCTCGAAATCCGTGCCGATAATCATTTCCAGAACTGAGATTAAGAAATCTGGTTCATTTGTTCATCTCTAGAACTGAAGCTCTCAGCTCAGACAAATTCATTTTGCGAGCCTCTGATTTGGTTTTTGAGATTCGAGTCTATTGTTACAGAGTGTTGGAATGGGGAGATGGGTACTACAATGGCGACATCAAGACAAGGAAAACGATTCAGACGGCAGAGATAAAAGCAGACCAGTTAGGGTTACAGAGAAGCGAGCAGCTCAGAGAGCTGTTCGAGTCTCTCTCCGCCGGAGAATCCTCCGCCGGTTCTCAAGCTCCCCGGAGAGCCTCCGCCGCCGCTCTCTCGCCGGAGGACCTCACTGACACCGAGTGGTACTACTTGGTCTGCATGTCCTTCGTCTTCAGCATCAACGAAGGGTATTTCCGTCATTCCCCCTAACCTTTTTTCGCACTTTCTTTTTTCTTTTTGGTTACAATAATGCAAATGGATACGCATTTCATTTTCATTTTTATTTTCTTTTTTTTTAATTATTATTTTTGGTAAATATTTTTAAAACTAGTTTTAGTTTATATTTAAATTATTAATTTTCTACAATAAAAAATTGTTTCCCGTTTGGATAATCCGGTTCAGTTTTGATCCAAATTACTTAGAATTATTATAGTTCAATTTGTTGTTCACCTTACGTATAAAATCTCTAATACAATATATATGACTAATGCTATTATTTCATAACTTTGTAATAATTAAATACCATCGACACGTTCTATGTGATTTTATAATTCCAACTGCGAACCATACTATACATGTCCTTCGTATTTACTATACATTAAATGCTAATCTTATCGCCAGTCTATATGCATGTGTTTTCATTTTTTTTCAAAAAAAATATTTAACACGAGAGAAACAAATCCCAAAATTATAATTATCTTTTTTCATTTAAAATAAAATTAACCGAAAATATAAAGAATAACAAATTTTTGTCTCAGACATTTTTTATATCGTTTTTTTGTTATCGGATTGCTTGCTTTGTACGAAACAAACATTCGTTCACGTACTTGTAACTTTTTTTTTTGGCATGTCGTAGAATGCCTGGACGCACATTGGCGAACGCTGAACCAATATGGCTTTGTAACGCTCATAACGCCGACAGCAAAGTTTTCACCCGCTCTCTTCTCGCCAAAGTGCGTTCCCTACATCCTCATTCTGCGTTTGCGTTTTACGTAATGCGTTTCTTGATCATTGACGCTAAAACTAAAACGCTGTTTTCTGCTTTTGCTGTTAGAGCGCTTCGGTTCAGACGGTGGTTTGCTTTCCGTTTCTTGGCGGCGTCGTGGAGATCGGCACCACAGAACACGTAAGCCATTGCCTCAATTTTTGTTTCTATAAGAACCCAAATGTTTTAGATTCTAGTAAGACAACCCCAAATGTTTATATAGTTACAATTACACCCCCAGTGGATTGAACAACGATGTAAAAACAACAAAAGGGTCTCAGATAGGTTCACCATTCAGATTCCCTCGTATATCCATTGCTTCAAAGTTTGAAACTTTGGTTCATCAATGGACTGAAATTTATGTTTAGGAACCGGTTTATGATTATAATACTCGGATTATGCAGATTAAAGAGGACTTGAATCTGATACAATGCGTTAAGACATCGTTCTTGGAAGCTCCTCCATACACTACAATCCCGAGTAGACAGGATTACCACCACGTTCTCGATCCACAATACGTTCCTCTGTTTGGGTCAGAGGCTTTCGGGGTGAAATCTCCGAGCATAACAGCAAATGGGTTGGAACTCGATCCCCAGCACGAACTCGAAGATCACGATTCTTTCATGGCCGAAGGAATCAATGGCGGTTCGTCTCAGGTTCAAAGCTGGCAACTTGTCGATGAAGAGCTCAGCAACTGCGTTCACCAATCTTTGAATTCCAGCCATTGCATCTCTCAAACGTTTGTTGAGCCTGGGAGTGTTACTTGTGGTCCAAGGAAGGGCATAGTTCAAGAAACGGGACAGCTGTTCGGGCAGATCCGAGGACAAAACCACGTAAATATGGCATCTTTCGATGCGAAGAACGATGATGTGCATTATCAGAGCGTTCTCTCGATGATTTTCAAGACGACTGATCAACTGATTCTCGGACCTCAGTTTCAGAACTGCGATAAAAGGTCGAGCTTTACGAGGTGGAAGAGAGGAGCCTTTGTGAGGTTTATCGGACCCAACACGGGAAGTAATGTGAACCAGAAAATGCTGAAGAAGATTCTCTTCGAAGTTCCTCGAATGAACAAGAATGATTCGGTGGAAACTCCCGAAGATAGCGGAAATAGGGTCGGGGATGAACCCGCGAATCACGCCTTGTCAGAGAAGAAACGACGCGAGAAACTTAACGAACGGTTCATGATTCTGAAGTCTATCATCCCTTCCGTTAACAAGGTGACTGAAACGTTAAGACTTTCTGGTTTACTGCTTCACAGTCTTTACAGAAGTACGGTTTTCTGCATCTGTTACTGTATATAGCACAACGTATATACAGAGAAAATACAGTAGAAAACTAGATACTCTTACAGTATAAGCATGTCTCGTTCCATGTTTTTTATGCAATTTGGATTTGATCAGAGATTAAACAAAACCGGGTTTCATCCGTACGTCTTTGTTCATTACAGACGGACAAAGTATCGATTCTTGACGAGACGATAGAGTACCTTCAAGATCTGGAGAGAAGAGTTCAAGAACTGGAATCTTGCAGAGAATCGACAGACACAGAGGCGAGAACGGCGAAGAGGAAGAAACCCAACCAGGAAGCAGGAGAAAGAACATCAGCGAATTGCACAGACACTGACGATCATGGGGGAAACGAGACGAGAGGTTTGGTTAACAAGAGAAAGGCAAGTGATGTGGAAGAGACTGAACCGGATACCGGTTCAGCGGGTTTAACCGACAATTTGAGGATCTATTCGTTCGGCAACGAGGTGGTTATTGAGCTTAGATGCGCTTGGAGAGAAGGTGTCTTGCTTGAGATTATGGATGTGATCAGTGATCTCAACCTGGATTCTCACTCCGTACAGTCTTCTACCGGTGACGGTTTTCTATGCTTAACCGTCAAATGCAAGGTACAATTCCAAACCCGATTTTCATCCAATTCATTTTCAGTTTAACCCAACTGCACAAAACCGGTCCATGTTGCAACAGACCGGTCAAAATCGGTTTGCAATTCCGATTTGGATGAGTAAACCGGAATTGATATGGAGATTGGATTTTGTTTTGTGCAGCACAAGGGGTCGAAAATAGCGACACCAGGAATGATCAAAGAGGCACTTCAGAGAGTTGCATGGATATGCTGAGTTCTATTGGTCCGGTTTAAATTGACACTTTTTTTTTTCGGTTTAGGATCTCTCTAGTCTTTGGTATTCAATGATTCTAACCGGATTTTGGCATTATGAATTTTGGAAATTCATGCGGTATTAATGTAAAAAAGAATCGTATTTTTCTATTTTTTTTAGCATTAAGTGATTGAAGTGAATGATATCAGATATTTGGTTACGTAATATTTCCTTCGGTTATCACTATAAGCTGAATTCCAAATTACAGCTAAAACCAATCGATAATTCAAACATAAAAAAATATATACTTTTACAAAAAAAAAAAAAAAATTCGGGGCAAATGAACAAACTTTTCTTTTGGTAAGACACTTGAAATAACATCTTTTTGGCAAAAGAATTTATCATACTTTTGGAGCTTTTCAGATACTTTTAGATTATTTTTTTTAACTATATAATGCATTTACTAAGACATAATAATAAAAATAATAGAATAAATTTTTGTGTGTCAACGAATATAATTGAAAATAAATGTTGTATATATATATATATATATATGTAGGATGAAGAAAAGGTGCGAATACAAATGGTGTCGTCAAAAAGCTGGTAAAAGTGTGTGCACAAATTACAAGGCTCGACTTTAACAGTACCCTCAAATCATTGAGGGGTCTAACTTTCAAAATTCATGCAATTATATTATTAATATTTTTAGCTTTCAATTTTAATAGTCCAACTTTATTCAATCCCCATAATTTCAGTGTATAAATTTATTCAAAATTACCATAAAAGAAAAAAATAATCCAATCTTGTATATTTACACTAACAAATAAAAATAGGTAGATTTGGTTCGGTGGTGTTGGATGTTGGAATTAATCGGGATTGATAAACGTTTAATAACAAAATCAACTTATAGTCGACTATTCATTTTCAATAATTAAAAAAAATAGATTTATCTGTAAAATAATACTTATAAATTTATGGTTAAGATGGTATTTGAACTTGGTTCATCTTTAGAATATTTGAACTAAGATTACATTGAAACCAATTAATTACAAGTTGTGAAAATTATTCATAACGTTTGAAAATTTAATTAAAAATTCTTATAAGGACCACACCTAATTATATAATATAATCATATGAAGGAAAAATAATACAATCAGCATGAAGTTCAAAAGACTTCATAGTCTTCACAATTATGATTAAAAAATAATAATAATAACTGGCAATTTTTTTTAAATCTATTCCCATTCGATGGTGGAAGGAGGCTTAGAGGTAATGTCTTGAACAACGCGGTTAACGCCCCTAACGCTGTTGCATATTTTCCGGGAAACGTTGTCCAGAAACTTGTGTTCAAAATTAAACCTGCATTAAACCATACAAACGCAATCCTCAAACGTCCAAATCTTGCCCAAACGCAAACGCAAACGCTAATCAAGACGCTCATAAAAAAAAACCAACTCAGAAAACGCTCGTTCCGGAGCGTTTGGAATTCACGTAAGACTTTTTCCTAATGACAAATAATCTCTACATCTGTTATCATTCAGACCAAAACTGTGAAAACCTGAAACTATGTTCTAACGCTCATATACCGAGAAAGGGATGAACTTTGGACATTTGGTAGATCACTATCCAAAGATTTAGAGTTCTAAGTGAATATATACATATATATATGTATGGATGTATGGATGTATGTATGTATGTAAAGAATGTGTATAGATGTAAAAGCTTACCAATCTGCTGTCATGCCGTCTTGGCTGGTAACAGCGCGAAGGGCAACAACATGAGAATGAGTTCTCTTATCGCCTTGGACTCCAACCGATTTTATGGGCAAGAAAACCGCAAAGGCTTGCCAGATTAGATCGTAAAGGCCCTCTTCTTTGATGGATTGGATGAAAATCTCATCCACCTGATGGAAACAAAAGAGCAATAAGATCTCATCATGAGTTCCACAGATTGGTAAAGAAAGACGATAATATCGGTTTTTAAGGTTTCACAAACTTGCCTGACGGAGAACATCAAGAGCGTCTCCTTCCGTGACATCCCCCAAGACTCTGACCGCGAGTCCTGGACCCGGGAATGGGTGTCTCTTCAAGAATCCTTGAGGAACATTCAAGATTCTCCCGAGCTCCCGAACCTACATGAAAAAGGGTCCGAGAGGAAAAGATTTGAACTTTCTGCAAAAAAACAACATGAAACGAGCAGAGAGAAAGTGGTCAAGGACGAAAAACCTCATCCTTGAAAAGGAGCTTGAGTGGCTCGATGAGCTTCAGTTTCATGTCCTTAGGGAGCCCTCCGACGTTATGATGGCTTTTGATGGTGTGAGAGTGAGTTCTATCGGTTCCTGGGGGAGGACACGACTCAATCACATCCGGGTAAAGAGTGCCTTGGACTAGATAAGCGGGTTTCTTCCCGAGCTTCTGCTCCAATTCATGTGCAAATTGATCAAAGATGTTGATGAACTCCCGACCAATGATCTTCCTTTTCGCCTCGGGATCTACAATTCCCTTCAGCTTACTCAAGAACTGCTCCGACGCATCAACACACGTCACGGGCAGATGCAAGTCTTTCTTGAAGGTCCCCATCACTCGTTCTCTCTCCTTATACCTTCACCCCACAATATCACAAATTCAAGATTTTTACGAATGAACAGAACACAAAACATACAAAACGGGTGATTAGGCTTTCTTCTCTAACCTCAATAACCCGTTATCTACGAAGATACAGTGAAGCCTATCTCCAATGGCTTTGTGAACAAGAGTTGCAGCAACAGTGGAGTCCACACCTCCCGATAGCGCGCAAATGACATGTTCATCTGCACCTACGGTTTTGTTTATCACTTTAACTTCTTCTTCCAACAGATTCTCCATCTTCCAGCCAGCAGAAACTCCACACACATCGAAGAGGAAGTGCCTAAGAGTCTCCATTCCTTGTGATGAATGTGTCACCTGCAAATACAACAACACATTCCCAACTATTGAGTACTCAGACTAAAAAATTTGATCTTTTACATTCCAGTGCATTGATTTATTACTGATCAGAGAGATTCACATCAATGGAACCACTCCAACCATCTTAGAATTGATACTGAAAAGGAAAATCAAGATCACTAAGAGTATCTGAGTATAGAGAATTCATGGAGACTTTGAATACCAACCCGAACAAAAAGAAAAAGAAAAAGAAAACAGACTTTATTACCAGAGAATTTCAATCTGCACGGAACACCAACTGCTCTACAGCTGATTCGACCGATCAGTTAGATAAACTAAACATCACTGTTCTTTCTACTTAAACCATTGGGCAGCATCAGATTCTTCAAAATCCAAGAATCAAACCCATGTAAATTTTCAAACTTTATTGACCAGAAGTCCACTAAAGATGTATGAATATTAAGCAAATCCAAACAATGGAGCTTTATATCAGATTCCTTTCAAAGGTTTACCTCAGGATGATACTGTAAGCCATAAAACCTCCTCTTCTGGTTCTCAATGGCGGCGATGGCTCCTTGCTTGCTCTCCGCCACAACCTCAAAACCCTCCGGCAACTTCACCGCCTCGTCTCCGTGGCTCATCCAAACAACTTGTCTTTTCCCGACATTCTCCGACCCGAAAATCGCCGACTCGCCCTTCGCCTCAATCTCCATCCTCCCATACTCTTTGCTCTCACCATCCCTGACATCACCACCGAGCTTCTGCACAATCAGATGCAAACCATAGCAAATACCCAAGACATGGACACCGTTCGACTCGGCCCACTCGACGAACCCGTCGGGGAAACTCGGCGCGTCCGGCGCGTGGACCGAGTGAGGACCTCCGGAAAGGATGACGACTCGTGGGTTTAGGGTCGAGATGGTTTTGAGCGAGGAGGTTCCGGTAATGCAGAGGGAGAAAACGTTGAGAGACCGAATACGGCGCGTGATGAGGTGGGTGTACTGAGAACCATAGTCAAGAATCAGGACAAGATCAGGGTTCACAGTTGTTGTTGTGTCCATGGTCTCTGGTCTGGTAGGAAAAAATGGAAAACAGTGAGAGAGGCTATGGGGTTTTAGAGCTTGGAAAAGACGGGTAGGGTTTTTCTGCGTTTACAAAGAAACTAAACTAGGGTTTAGCCTAATTGTCTGAATCAGAGGAACCGAAAACAAAGAAGGAAAAAAATGGAACCTTTTATAATTTACCCAAACAAAAGTTAGAATCTTTTGGTCAACAGTCAAACACTTCTGAACGAGGCAGAAGCTGTCTCAAACTGCATAAACTAAATTACACCACAAAAACGATGTTGATACATTTTAATCATGCATATCATTAAATGGTTGTTATAAGAATGTTGAATAAGCTCGTAAAAAATTAGAATATCCTTGTGGCCATTGTTCCCAGCTCAGTGGCAACCTCCATCTCCAACTGTTCCAAGACTTGTTCCACAACATCCGACACAACACCCTCTGTTTCACCGCCGAAATCCATCCACAGACAGGGTTTTGTCAGATCTTTCTCCATAAGCTGATCTAATGTTCTTCGAGGGCCAGAGTGGCAGAGCAAATTCCAGTCAAAAAGTTTCATGGCTTGGTGAACCAGATCGTTTCTCAGAGCAAAAAGTGCGAGTCTCGGGTTCTTTAACCGTATGAAAGGCCATGACTTGATGTCTCTGTATAATTCATTCAGAACCTCGCTTGTGTAGTCAAGAACCAGATGCTGATGCTGATCATTGTGTGAGAATTGATCGAGCAGTGAGGATTCAAGTGATGAGACAGTGCATTTTGTGATAAGTTCTGTCCAGTTCAATCCAGAAATCTTGAGAACTATCTTCACAAACTCCTGAACCGACCCTCTCTCCAATACGCTCGTAAGGTCGATTCTGGGCTCAGAAGATAAACCGATATGCTCTTCTGCACGAATGCATACACGGGTTTGTATGTATTTTTGGGATGGAATGAAAACGAACAGCGAGTTGACAATCTAAAATAAGTTTAGATCTGGTCTTACCAATTAATGGGTTTGCTATTCCAGGACTGGCAGAATCTTCTTCAATGTGAAATCTCGTAAGAACAGAGACGGGACTTGGGTGCTCCTGTTCTTGTTTATGGTCGTTAACGTTGCTGTTTGATCTTTCTGGACTAGAAAACTCTGAAATAAGTGTTTTCATCTCCAGAATTGTTGAGTGATTGTCTTTACAAGACTCCTGGACCCAAATCAAAGTATATTATATCGTTATGTTGCATTCTTGATGCTAAATTAAAGCTGAGAATAGTAACAAGAAATGTCTCTTTCCCAAAATTTACCATGCATGAACTCTCTGAGGATCTCTGTTCCAGGCATTCATCCTCCATGCCAGGTCTCAGATTGCTGTAAGCAGCAGAACCTGAAAATCTCATCATATGGATTGCTCATTTGAAAGATAGATACATCTTGGCTTTAGAGAGGATTTATTGAACTTTTCAGAGCTTTACCTCCACACCCATCTTCATCGAGACGTTCTGAAAAGCATTCATCAGACGATCTGTGCTGAAAACCGTGTTTCGAGTTGAACACTTCAACGTTCTTGCCCGAGGATTGTAATCTGTAATGCTGCTTCTGGTTTCTATCCTTCAATCTTGTCTCAGGGCTAACATCAGTATCGTGCTCCTTCCAGAAACTACTCAGTGCATGAGGAACTTCATAAACAGGCGACGAGCTTGTTCTCTCATGTTGTCTTTCCACCATGAGCCTCCTTGGTGAAAGATCATTCTCAGGGGTTGACTTGAAAACATAAGATCCAACCCGTTTCTTGCATTTAAAGATCTCCATTGAAGCATCAGATCTCCGTTGGGAATAATCTCTTTCCTCACTCGTTTTCTCCATTCTCTTAATAGCATCGCTTTTTCTGGGAGCAGTCTTGGCTTCATTAGCTTCACAACTATCTTCAGGGCTACAGATTGCGCCTAGAAGCTTGTTTTCACAGCGATCATTCTTGTTGGACCCGATAACAAGTTTCAACTTCTTAGCCATATGTTTGAATCTCAAGTAGGCACTTGCATCTTCACCTGAACTAGTTAACCTAGGCTTCAAGACAACAATTCTGTCCAATTCATCTGGTTCTCCTACATCTTTTACTCGAGTTTCAAATGTTGCAGTGTTGGAAGAACACTTAGCTTCCCGGTCTTTTGGCCGGGATCCCGGAAAATCTTGGCCACGCTTTGCCGAGAAAGAATTTGGATCTTGCAGGAGAGTAACGAATAATTCTTTGTTTGAACTCAGAACATCCAGTGCTTCCAAGAACTGCTTAGACTGGTCACTTCCCTTTTTCGCCTTCTGGCATATCAATGCTTCAGTCGCTTCATTCACACAAACATGAAGGTTAATCTCTGGGCACTTCTCCAAATCTGGATCCAAGTTCTTGCAAATTTGGTCCCAGCCCTTTTTCATGCTCAGCTGCTTATCACTCGTCTTCTTCTCGGATCTCTCAGTCTCAGTCAAAGAAGATTGATTTTGCTCTGAGAAACAAACCTTTCCTTCACCCTGAACCGAGTTATCAAAAGTTTCCACCTTTAGATTTTTCGTCCTTCTCGCCTCACTTGGTATTTCCCTTACAGATTTCGGATAATACTTCTCATGTTCGGTTCCAGAAACTGAGGATCTTCGCCTTGTTTTAGGCCTACATGAGATCTCTTCTTCCACAACAGGCTGAGCATTCACATTCTAAGAGCAAACCAAAAAAATCCACTCCTCAAAACATGTCCTAAAAAGCTCCATATATTATAAAGGCATTATAACCGATGAACTAACCGAACAACCTGTGTCAACTTACATTATTACACTGACATTTCTCATGAAGCCTCTGGAGCAAATCAAGCTGACTTTTAGTATAAACGTTGCCTGCGAAAAGAGAATCAAAGAACTTCGCTGTCTTGATAAAAAAAAAAAACTTCAATGAGGATGATTCATGTCCGAAACCATCAAGAAAACACTCACCAGAAGAATCTCTGAACCTGTGCGACTTGGCTGAAATCAGCTTCTTACCAGACCGATCTTGTCTGAAACCGAAGAAGTTTATCAATCTCCAGCCACAACCGGCTTTGTATTTCTCGTAAAGGAGAGGACTTTTGGGGAGAATTCCAGGGCTGCCTCTCTGTGTTTCCTTCTTCTCCATGATCGAAGAACTCAGAGAGCATCAAACCGTGTCTCTGCTCGTAAACCTAAACCTCCCACTCTGTGAACCAGGATCAAAGAGCACTTTTCAGTACAGAATTCATGCCACTTACTCAACTCGCAGTAAATTTCTTGACTTGCACAGAACACTTGTGTTCTAGATATAATCAAGTCAAGTGTAATAAACACGTATAAGCACCTAGAGACATGGGAATGACAGGAAAACAAGATTCTTGCTTGTGTCTGAAAATTTCTTCTTCTGTTCATCGTTTGGCATGTTGAATTAGAAAGCTATCAAATTTATTTTCTTTTCTACCTCTTTCTCTCTCTTTCCTTTCCCCCCTTGAACTCGACCTTCCATGAAAACAAACCACAATTTCTCAGCAGATACAAAAACCCTTCCTTTAGCATAAAAATTTCATCTTTTCCATGACTTTGTTTTGCTGATGTCATGCCCAGATTTTTCAACTCATCAGCATATTTATTTCCATGCATATACACACACATGAGTATGAGCGGATATGTACTTACCCGAGATTTTCGGTGAGAGTGTTCATAAAAATGCGATGTTGCCAATCGCGAGCTGGGCTCAGTGTTGAACATAAAACCCCCCACAAAAAAAAAAACACCCAACACAAAGATGGATTGAGGATCTCCAGAGAGTGGGAAAAAAAAAATAGGTAATAAAAAGGAGAAATCTTTAAAGGGACCCTTGTCTCCTCATCTACCAGATTAATCAATTTTCTATTTTTCTTTTTTTTTCTGGGTTTTTTTTTGTCAAGAAATTTGTAGGGGCAATAAATGGGCACTACTGTTTAATCTCTGGAATCGGTCCTCGCCATTAAAGCGTCGCAAGTGCTCGTCGCTGTTGTAGTGAAGAAGAAGAGGAAGAAGAAGCAGAAGAAGAACGATGACGACGACTGTGAGAGAAAATGTTGTGCCATGAAAAAGAAAGAGGGGAAAAAATGTAAGAAACCAAAGGAAAAAATAAATAAAAATAATAGCGAAAGGAGAGAGAAACGCAAGGAAATGGCGAGAGGAGGCGACCAAAGAATAACAAATTTTCATAATGAAAATAAATTAGGTGAAAATTTAAAGATAGACATTGACTAATCATTAATATATGGCCAACTTATTTTGAGAATATTGCAGTTAATTAATTTCTATTTTTTTTAATAAAGGAGAACACTGTTTACTAGGGGTGGGTACGAATTGGATATCCGTGATTTTTGAGATATCCGTATCCGTATCTGATCCGCATAAATACTCGATTTTACTATCCGTATCTGATCCGTACGTATATCTATAATTTCGGATATCCGTAAATATCGCGGATATTTACGAATATCCGTATCCGACATATAAAATTATAAAATTTTAATTCAAATTTAAATAACAATTTTAAATATAAATAAATTATATAAGTTATTTAATATAAATTTATTCACAATTTAAAATTCAAAAATTAAATATTTTAAATCAATTCAAATACAAATATAATCATAATGTATCATATACAAATATATTGAAAGTTCAAAATTCAAAAAATTAAACATAATAAATCTTAATATTCAAAAGATTAAACATTCTAAATCTCAATATATATAAAATATTTCTTGAATATCCCTACAAAATATGTAAATATAAAGGACTTTACATCTGTATAGCAAATTATTTTTATATTTAATAATATTATTAATTAGTACGGATCGGATCGGATATGTCGGATAATTCGAATTTGATATCCGTATCCGATCCATATCCGATAAATATTTCAAAATAAATATCCGTATCCGATCTGTATGGTTTTTTCGGATATTATGTCCACCCCTAGTGTTTAGGGTTTTTTACCCAAATAACCAACTTGGGTCGCATCTATTTCATCTGTACACCACCGAAAACATAACACATTTTTTTCCCTTCGAAAAGACGAAATTACCCTTAATGAATTACGATATTTATCCGTTCAAAAACAACTTCGTTATTACGACTTCGTAATTAAGTCTAAATATAGTTACAATTGATTCTAAAAAATGTGACAAAAAATCATCTATCTTATTTTTAGTTATATATCAGTTATATGTTAGTCGTAATAAAGCCGCAAAAAATAAAACGAAAAGGGTATTTCAGACTTTTCCCACCGAAAAGTGGGTTAAAATTGAAAAAAAAAAAATTTTTTTTTTGGATGGTGTACACGGAAATAGATGCGACCCAAATGGGTTATTTGGGTGATTTTCCCTAGTGTTTACTCCTTTCATGTTCTTTAATCGGTTTTAATATGGAGACGGCTTTTACGCAATAAATTAATTTTTACTACGGTGTTTTTGCAAAGCAGGTGAAAGTTTTTTTTAAAATATGGAGAAAAAACCAAAAAAAAAAAAAGATAGAAAGGAAGATAGGGACGTGAGAACGAAAGGGACGTTGAAAATCTGTAGAATTGATATTCACGGCGATTGAAGAAGAAGACAATGCTTTCAAATTAAGCTTTTGCTTTTGTCTTCTTCTCCATCTCTCCCTCTCCATCCTAATATTTTGTATTATTTTTTTTTTAACTCTCAATGTAAACCACACAAAAAAAATCTACTCGAAATTACAAGTCACGCATACATAAATACACACACATACATATATATATATATATATATATATATATATATGCATATGTTATTCATTGTATGCATTTTATGAACATTGACTTCTAGTTTATAATATCCTTTCAAGAAGGTAGTATCTAGTGCACATGCACGTTACAATGTTATTTTATATATATATATATATATATTATATATATATGTAGAGAGAGAGAGAGAGAATCAGATCCCAATACGGCATGTTTTTTTGCCATTTTTTAGTAGCTACTGGGATTGCGAAAACAATGTTTGATTTAAAAAAAGGGTCAAAGTTTTACCATTATCAAGTAAAAATGGCAATTTCCCAAAGGTGTTCTGCATGTCCTCTTGTGTCATTCGATCGCATCCAAAGGGCCCGAAAACGATGCGTTTCACTGAAAATTAATTCACTATGAACATCAAACATTAAAATTTTGGGATGATTTTCACAGTGAATGTTGATTACCTATAAATGGATGGTATGGTATCATATGATCTATTTTCCCCTAAACTGTTGAATATATATATATATATATTGCAAAGTTCGATCAAAACATAATTTCCATTTAACATTTATATTTGACAGTAATTTCAAAAACCCTTTTCAAAGAAACATGTATTTTGACATTGATCATATCATGTACAGATACAGTTATACATAGTTAATCGACGTTTGAATATTAGACATCCAAATACCTTTCACACAATAATCCCGGAACATTATCATCTTTTCCCTTGAACGAACCAATGCATACATATGAATATATGATATACACACACTGAGTTATATAAAAAAAAACACACAGAGAAAAAAGAAAAAGAACAGATGTACCGATGTATATATTTGTATGTATATCTAAGAACCTTGAAATTGCGAAGATACGTCCACGTCCACTTGCATGTCATGTTGTTGGAGACGGATGTTCTTGCTCTTTTTCTGGTACATGACATTAAGTGGATGATAACTTGAATAATGTTTTTACGTACACCTACTCCCATGCATGCATCGCATGCAGACAGTTCAAGAAGCTACTAAACTGCTATACATATATACTCATCTTAGTTTGAGTCTAGTTATAGGGTTCTTGTTTCGATACAATGTATCCCCCTCCTCCTTTCGCTTCGTTTGAATCTTGATGTTTGGTTCTTTCCATGATCGGCTGGCTTGCCGCGTGTGACAAGATCCTACGCTGAAATCTTTAGTGAAGATGAAACATTACGTACGTTATATAACATTTTTTAGCTTTTGAATGTTCTTTCTGGTTCGAACGTACGTACGATGTTTCCAAAATGTCTATTTCATTCAGCCGAAACACAGAAAGATCTGGACTTGGAGACACCCATTGAGCCGAAAATGCCGTCTCGTTCGCAAGCACCGTCTTCCAACTCAAACCCAGTACCGTCTCAGGATCAAGGTCCATCTGAGATTCAGACAGGATCTTGTTTTTTTCTCATCTGGGTCTTGACTATTCTGAATGGTTTTGTATCAGAACTTCAGTTTCTTTCACTTCCAGACATGACTGAGTAGTGAGACTTAACCTTGTTCCGAGCTTTGAGAGAGGAGCCATAAGAAGTGGAAGATGAGATACGATCATGAGTTTTGGTTTGGTCCAATGGTAAACAAGTCAAGGGGGGCGCTCCACTTCCGTGTATCCAGCTCGATAAATTAAATAATAACTAATCGTATATCATAAGAAGACCAAATAATTTTAGTTTGGTTAGACAAACATAACATGGTATGTCCGGTCCCACGTCGCGACTTAAGGATTCCAAGATTCCACATACGATCTACACTCTAACCTACAAGTGAAAATATGTATATATATTTTTTTTATTCCGAATTAAATGTATGTGACGTGAATTTGTGCTTCATCTTATCAAATTTAATTTTGTATTTGGTCAAAGCAAAAGCAAATAATGGTAAAGAAAAAAAAACGTAGGAATATTAAAAAACTATAAGTAGAAATATATAGGTTATTAAGCGCGACAATTTTATTTAGTACTAATTGTTCTAGATTTCACTATTCGGCTAATTGCTTATCCCATAACCGGTGATTCTGGATAAATCGGTTTAGCTAAACCGATTTAACCGCACTAAAGAACGAAATATAGAAAGTTGACCAGTAAAACGACGTCGTTCTCTCACTCCCGTCTTCCGCTTATGTCACTTTCCACAATTCGAGTAGATCCGCACCGATATGTGTTATATAAATATTCCCATTTATTTATGTTTTTAGCATATTTTCCGATTTGTTCAATTATTTAATCCTCCTTGTTTCTCTCTTCTCGTTTCTCCCTCTTTCTCTGTTCTTGAGAGAATCTGTGACAGAATCGATGGATTTGCGGGGATTTCTCCGGGTTCTTCTCTTCTCCGCCGAGATTTTACTTCTCTGTCGTCTTTCTCCGGTCTCCGCCGGTGATATTATCCACGAGGACAATTTGGCTCCGAAGAAGCCCGGTTGCGAGAACGACTTCGTTTTGGTACTCTTCTTCCCATTTCTCTTCTCACTCCGAATTCAGCTGGGTCTTGTTTTGATTCCCGTCAATTTTACCGAATTCTACGTTTTTCCTCCTCCGTTTTCTGTTTTCAAGAGCTTGAGCAGAAGTCCAAAGCTCGTGAATTTCTGGTTTCTGAAATTTATGTTGTGTAAATTTAGAAATCAATTTAGTTATTTTCCAGTGAATCTAGTTCTCTTTAGTGTTTATCTGCTACTTGATGATAGTGATGAATTTGCGGTTCTGGGTAGGTTTCCCTTTTCTTTCATCTTTCTGCTCCTTTTGTTAGTTATTGCTCGTTCCTGGCAATTAAGTTATGCTTGGTTGATTAAATTGAATATTCTCAATGATGATTCTAATTGCCCTTTTTGGTCTGCTTGGTGAAAGTTGAATTATGCATGTTAAATTTTGTTTTTATGATCCTGATGGTCTGTTGGCCTATGATCAATCTTTCGTGAAACTTTTTCATTTCCACTTGCTGTCATTCATTTTGGAAAACGTTCTCTCCAACCGATTTTGATCGCTGGCCCTGAAGATAACTCTAGTATCAATCGGAGATTTTGCGTCCTTCATTCGTATCGTTCATTCTCAAATTTCCATTTTTTCCGTTTAAGGTTGAAATTTCTACTTAATTTGATGAGATTTTTTTATGCTTGTTTCATGACTTGTCCATTTGGTATCGGTAATAGCTGGCATTTATGTTCATCTGGTTCTTTCTTTTAGGTTAAAGTTCAAACGTGGGTTGATGGTATTGAGGATGAAGAATTCGTGGGTGTTGGTGCCAGATTTGGGAAACCGATAGTATCCAAGGAGAAGAACGCGAATCAGATACACCTTGTTCTTTCAGATCCCCGTGATTGTTGTAGTCCGACAAATAACAAGGTTTAATCCACTTGTTTCAATCTGGTTATGAACCTGTGAATGTGTAAAAGCTTACTGGTTAACTTTTCTAGCTTTCTGGAGACGTTGTTATGGTGGACCGAGGCAATTGTAAGTTCACAGCTAAGGCAAACAACGCAGAAGCTGCCGGTGCATCTGCTGTTCTTATCATTAATAATCAGAAAGGTATATAGATTTGTTGTGTTTAGATCATTTGTTATAATTAATAATCTGACTGCTTTGATGTTTCTACAATATCCATTGGGTGTTGGAAATCAATTTTGCTGCAAGTCTGTATCGTTTTTTTCTACAATTTTATGATGAACTGTAATATTTATTTATGTATGCCATTTATGCTGCTCTGCGTTACTTTGGTAATCTTGTTTCAAGGAAAAAAATTAATTATGTATATGCTCTTTGTTTGACAGAACTTTACAAGATGGTTTGTGAACCGGATGAAAATGATTTAGATATCAAAATACCTGCTGTCCTCCTTCCTCAAGATGCTGGTTCAACCTTGGAAAAAATGCTCACCAATAGTTCAAAAGGTAAATCTCTTTGATAAGTGATTGGCTTTCATTTTCTTTTTCTCTCCCTTTCGGGTATGGTATGTTTCAATTTATTAAGCTGGAGTTTCCTACAAATACGTGTCAGTAACTGAATGAAGTTTCATACTTTTCAAAGTGTCGGTGCAGCTTTACTCCCCAAAGCGACCGGCAGTTGATATAGCAGAAGTGTTTTTGTGGTTGATGGCTGTTGGTACCATTTTGTGCGCCTCTTATTGGTCTGCACAGAGTGCCCGAGAAGCTGCTATTGAACATGACAAACTACTCAAGGTACTCTATGTTCCACTTATTTAGGAGCTTTTGAAACAATTCTTAAGCTAGTACATTTACGTTAAATAAGTTTATACAGTGTAAACCACTAATGCATAAAGCTGCTTGCATATCAGTGATATAAAAAAGGGACATGATAGCTAGTTAGATCAGGGAGATGCAAATCAATCATTTATAGTGCATTGAGCTAAAAAAGACATTCTTGGTCATTTTTACTTGCTCATTTATGGAAGAGACGTCCTGAGATTAAATATCAAAACAATGTAAAGGCAAGGCATGATCTTTCCAATGAACTGGGCCCATCCCGTAGAGAAATTGTTTACTTGTGGCAAGAGATTCACATGGTTTTGTTTTGTTTTTGTTTTTGTTTTTTTATCTCATTGACCTAAACCCATAGCCCTGTTTTTTGTTTTTCGCTCCTCAAGGCCTGTTAGATGAGCATATGCTTATTTCTAAAGTTTGATTTCCTCCTATATGTAGGATGCTGTGGATGAAATCCCAAGTGGCAATGATGTAGGTAGTGGCGTTGTAGACATAAATACAACGTCGGCTATTCTTTTCGTTGTTCTTGCTTCATGCTTCCTGGTTGTGCTTTACAAGCTTATGTCTTATTGGTTTGTGGAGCTTCTTGTTGTTCTTTTCTGCATTGGTGGTGTCGAGGTATCAATTCTTTTTTCGTTCCATCTTTTGTAAGACATGGGTATTTCTGTCAATTTATGATTATTACCTTGTTAGAATCATTAGTCTTACACAGTATTTTCTTTATCTTCAGGGTTTGCAAACTTGCCTGGTCGCTTTTCTATCAAGGTCTACTGTGATTTCTTTCCACAAAGCCTTTTACCTTAAATGCACTTGGTGAAGATGTCTTCGGACCATGGTTAAGGTTCGTGTTTTAAATTATGTGCCTTGTCTCTTTTTTACGCAGATGGTTCAAACGTGCTGGAGAATCATACATAAAAGTACCTCTCCTCGGAGCTATCTCGTACCTCACTCTGGCAATTTCCCCTTTCTGCATTGTTTTTTCCGTTCTTTGGGCTATTTACCGAGATGTCTCCTTTGCTTGGATTGGCCAAAATATTCTTGTAAGGGTTACTCTTCATTTAGCTGCATCCTGCATGATGACAATGTTTTTTCATCCTTGACACAGATTCCATTTTCAGACACAACCCAATTCCATAAGATGGTACTTGATTTTGCTGCTTTGTTGATTAGGGTATTGCATTGATTATCACGGTACTGCAAATTGTCCATGTCCCTAATCTTAAGGTAATCTATTCAACATGTTTCTTTGAGGTCAAGTTCGCATACTGATCTAACTTTTATCATTGTAATGTACTCTCGAGAACTCGTGAAAAGGAAAAGAACATGTCCTTTACCGCAAAGCAAAGAGAGAGATGATCCTTTCACGATCAACATGGCTGAGAATTTCTTTTCTTTTTTAATTGTTCTTTAAAGTTTCAGTCTTTTCTATCTATGCATCCCAAAAGAAATGGTGGGTCATTGGGGAAAAAAAATATTGCTTGCTAATGCCATTATTCATGAAACAGGTTGGGACAGTTCTTCTAAGTTGTGCCTTCTTGTACGACATCTTCTGGGTATTTATTTCCAAGAAGTTGTTCCACGAAAGCGTGATGATTGTTGTATGTATCCCAACTATCATCTCCTATAATATCCAAAAAAATTGAGAAGACATAAAAGTGTTTGTGGTTTTGTCCGCAGGTAGCTCGCGGTGACAGAAGCGGGGAAGATGGAATCCCGATGCTACTGAAGATTCCACGGATGTTTGATCCTTGGGGAGGATACAGCATCATCGGATTTGGTGATATACTTTTGCCCGGTTTGCTAATTGCCTTCTCTCTCAGGTTCGAAGCCTTCCTATAGTTCTCTCTCGCTCTCTCTCTTTCTCCCTCTCTCAAAGTTCCAAGCTTTATTATGCCCAACAGCTTATAGCATAAAACCTGGAGCTTATGAAGTGAAGAGACATAAAAACAGCTTTGTGAGTTCTGTCTTGGTCTTTGCAGGTATGACTGGCTGGCTAACAAGACTCTCCGGACCGGCTACTTCATTTGGGCAGTCACTGCCTATGGATTAGGTAATAAAATCACACACACTACATAACACTCCTCTCATTTTCTAGATCATATAATGATTGTTTGGAAGATTTTAACGGGTAAAGTTAAGACCAACAGACTTTGAGATGGATTCATATAATTTCGGGTTTTATCAAACCTTGCCTATTAGACCAGTCAATCTAGATGACCGAAGCTACTATCTAATCAGAATTGTAACCTTCCACTTGTCATTGAAAATCCTCAACGGTATCTAGCTTTTCCGAGGGCAAGTAGAGGCATTTGTAGCATTCATTTTCATGCAATGAGCCGTTCAATACTCTGACCCTTTAGTTCTTCGATTTCTGGCCTCAAAGCGCATGGAACCGAGGTAGGTTTAAGCCTCTTCTTGATGCCATTTCATGATCGGAATTTTCACGTGCAGGTCTTTTGATAACTTACGTGGCTCTTAACCTAATGGATGGACATGGCCAACCCGCATTGCTCTACATCGTCCCCTTCACACTCGGTAACCAAAATGCTTTCTCCTCCTCCTCCCTTTTACGGTTTTATTAGCTTAACCGGAAAATTCATGGACCTTTTGGGTTGGGTTTTGCAAATGAAGGAACCCTAATAACATTAAGCCGGAAGAGAGGAGATTTCAATGTTCTGTGGACAAAGGGAGAGCCAGAGAGACCATGCCCTCATATCAGGCTTGAGCAGCAGAGCCCTCTTCCACACCATTTCCACGACTGAAGTTACAATGACACGATTTGTATAACGTAAATGTAATGTAACGTAATAATCTTTTATCTTTGAATCTATGGTTGTGCTATATTATCATCGATGATCTCTGTCTGTATGGTTTCTGTAATTATATTAGAATTTAGATATGCATTCATATATATGTATATATATGCATGCAATGTGAGACAGTTGATGGTGAAGGGCACGTGTGTATAAGCAGACACTTCTGTTTTGGACATCGCTTCTAATGAGGGCCTGTTCGGCCCATTTATCTTTCTTCAATTATTACTAATGGGCCCTTACACTTTTTTCGTCGGCCCACATATACTTTTTTTGAGACGCGATCGAAATTAGTAAATTACTAATTATTTTTTTTTAAATTCTTGACTATTATTTAATTTTTTTACCATTTTATAAGGATTAGACATTGGTGTTTAAAGGTACTTTTGTACATTTTCTATTTATAAAATTAGTTCACAAATGTTTTGAAAAATATCATTTCATTAATATCACCTAAATTTTATATTAATAAACTACTTTCCCCTATATACTTATGCACAATTCCAAACTGATACAGCTAAAGCAAACCAGCAAACAAAGTGAATGACCAAATTAATTTATTTTTCAAATTTCAAATAACGGTACATGGGATTTGATCCTTTGGTTCGAGCTTTTGCTCATATATTTCCCACCTTTTCTCATTACCAAAGAGATACAAATGACTACTTCAGAGCCCTTCACTTCATCCCGAAGCTTCTGTACACAGATGTACATTTCTCTTCAGTCTGTCTCCCATTTTCCTGGTTCCAAAAGGGAATACAAAATGTACATTTCTTCCCTTTTTGCATGAATGAACGTTCCTCACCAAAGAAGAGCTCTTCTGAATTCCAAAAACCAGTCTTGCGAATTTTGATCCCGACCCTATCTTCAGGCTATTGGTACTACTACTCTGCAAAAGAAGCCTGGTCCTGATGAAGGGTTGGTTGGTTCCTAACAACCTAACTATGGCTGTAACTCCAAAAGCTACTGAAACAGAGGGGCCACCAAGCTACGTTCCTCCATTGGTGGGACCAGGAATCAAGAAACCAGATCTCAGGTCAAGTGTTTTCAGTTTCAGATGCTCACTTAGGAGCTGTTGGGACACATGATCCGACAGGACAGGCTGACTGTCCTTGAGATTATTCCACTCGTAGCTCGGTTGGATGGAACCATTGTTCTCCCAGAAAACATGAGGCTGCGTCCTGGTATTACCCCGGGAGATATTATCGTGCCTTAGGTCTTGGAACATGTTGCTGTTTCCGTAGAAGCAGTTGTTCCCAGGGCTTCTGCTGGATCCTATGCCTTCATGCACATAGTTAGTTACTATCTGTCTTTGGTGATGGAACGGGATGGCCCCATTGCCACCTCCGGTTAGAGGTGTTGATGAACCAGAGACACAATGTGGGCTTGATATTGGGGACGGCGACCTTCTCCCGCTTATGTGCTGTGGAGAACGTGCGTGAAGGATCAGACTCTCGATTGGTGAAATCGGACATGACGAGTTCCTTGGCGAATGGGATGCACTGGAAGAAAATACCGCGAGTTTTAGTCAATCTGGTTAAAGTAATATCCATGTAATGATGATGATCAGGACACAAAAACTAAAATAGAGCAGAAGACTAAGGTACCTAAACACTGAGCCGGGTTTTAAACTTTTGGGTTGAAGATTGGTTGCATCTTCTGAGTCCAGCAGGCATGGAAGACTTCTTGCAGTTGCCATATCCTGAACAAAAGATCAGTAAGGCAAACCTGAAGCAAGCAACGAGATGAAGAAAAAACTTGTTTAATGAGGAAAAAACTTGTTTAGTACCTCTGATCTCGTAGCATTTGATGCCATAGGCATGGTGGTTTCTGCGGGCTCAGCGCTCGTGATAGGCCTTTCTAGCGGCTGCCCGGCGTTTCTTACAAATGGGTGCTCTAAAAGTTCGGCAGCCGAAGGACGATTTGCAGGATTCCTCTGTAGGCATTGTCTCACAAAGTCCTTTCCCTCCTCCGACAAATGATCCGGGATCTCTGGAAGTTCCTTGCTATTCCCAATCTTGAACATTGCCGGAACCTTTTCAAGATTGCACACGTATGATTATGGTCCATGGTGGTTTGGTGAGGCATTCAAATGACTGATCAGTGGTTGAGTCTAAATAGTTACTAACCCCTTCATACTGGCTCCATGGTGGTTTTGTTGTAGCCATTTCCAGAACTGTACATCCAAGACTCCATATGTCGCGTGCAAGGTTACTGCCACTTGAGTTCTTTATAACCTGAAAACAGGACGAATATGGGCATTATCAGAAAGCATCACCTCGATAAATAAATAACCTCCTAGAAGGAGAAAATAACAACGTGTACCTCGGGTGCCATCCAATAAGGGCTCCCCTTGAATGATAAAGGACCAGACTGAGCAGTAATCTGCGTTTTGTCCAAGGAATCTTTTATTAGAATGCATTGTTAATAGCTGTTTCGGGTAATCAAAACCAGATCAGGGTCCCATACGATAACATTTACAAATCATCTCTTACTCGAGGCAGGGTTTTGAACAGACAAAAAGAATGCAGGGAACAAGATTGAAGAGAATATATTCGTTCTTACATGTTTTGCCATTCCAAAATCTGCCAACTTCACCCGTCCATGGGGATCCACCAATATATTTGCTCCTTTGATGTCTCTGAATAAAGTTTAAACACATATTTGCTTAATTCTCCAATATGCAAGGACACGTATTGTTCGGTAAGGTAAGGAGGAATCAGGACAAAGTATAGAACCAAGTCTTTCACCTATGCACAGTTTTTTTCCCATGCAAATAGGCAAGCCCTGACAAAATTTGGTGTGTGTAGTTACGAATTGCATTCCCCCCGAACTGTCCATATTCTTGAAGAAGCTTATAGATTGAACCACCAGAGACAAACTCCAGATATATATACAGCTTGTCATCTACCTGTTTTAGACGCAGAGAAGTTAGAACAATGAAGCCACGGGAAAAAAAAATTGACTCATCAGTGGTTAGCATTCTGTCTGGATCACAGCACAGGGATGTCTTACAGTTTCAGAGCCATAGTACTGTACTATATTAGGATGTCTTAACCGGCTTAGAAGTGCAATCTCCTGCCAAATTATTGAGAGAGAACTGGTGTGTTAAAAAAAGTCAACTGAATAAATAACGCATGTAAAAAATTTAAGCGCTCATGAGGTGCAACTCACTTGCCCCAGCTGCTGAGCGCACTCCTTCGACTTTGGATCATCCGGACATAGGGTAACTTCTTTCATGGCACACATCTCACCACTTTCACTGAGAAAAAGAAAATAAAACCGATAAACCAGGAGCACCAAGCAGTTATACGAGTACACCAAAATATAATGTCCAATGAAAAGCTGCATGATTTAGCATCTGAATTAATCTCATAGCCAGCATGAAACCAGGTACAGATTATTAAACGGACCTGTTGAAACCAAGATACACATGTCCAAAACTGCCCCGCCCAAGTAAACGCCCTTTCTTCCACCGTGATCCAGGGCTCACTATAGCCTCCGCCCTTGCAGGACTTCGGGGGACTGACGGAGAGGTGGCTGCTGAATAGGTGGGAGAAAATGGGCAAGTATTTGAAATTGTTAACGGCGGGAGAGGGAGGCGATGACTTTGCTGTTTGCTATCATCGAGCCGTCTAGTTGGAGACCCAGTGGTTGATCCTCCAGCTCGTGGATGAAGTGGGGTAACGGTTCCACTGTGTATTCTGGAACTAGGACCAGGGCTTGTCATTCTTGGACTAGGAACAGGGGAACATTCAGGACTGCACCTGCTCTGAAGCCAAAACAGCTGACCAGACATATCTCCACCAATGGAATTATTACCAGAGTTGTAACCTGAACCTGGGCTTGAGCATTGCCCAGACCCAAGCAAGGAAACATCTGAATATGGTTTTCCAAATAACAATCCATGGTTTGAGACTTGATCCGGAACACATGATCGCATCGGACTCCTAGAAGGACTAGACAACAAGCTGTCTGGAGCACTGCAGAGAATATCTCTTCGAGGAATTTGTAGATTCTGCACATGGCTGCCAAGAGGTCTCCGTTTAGGAGATGTCGACAGAATCTGAGTTTTATTACTTAAAACAGGAACTGGCATGAGAAGCTCAGCTGAGTATTTGTGACCATGAGGGGATTGGTCCCTGTGGATAAAGTCAGAGGAAACATGTTGAGAGAGAGAGAGAGAGAGGAGGGGGGGGGGGGGGGGTTCTGGAATCCTGAGTGCCCGGTACTCGATCTTTAACTATCTGAAGCAGCCGATATGTATACAGAAGATGACTTACTGCCTTTAGAAGCTCAGCTTTTAGTTCAGATGCAAGCTGCTTTCTGACAAACGTTCTAACAGCGTGAACAGCATCGGGATCTGCAACCGTCATCATGTCCATTATCTCTCCCTCACCAGGCAGTGTTATTGCATTGGCAATAAATTCCTAGGCAGCAAAGAACGTATTAATTCCAAAAAAAATCATCAACATTCGTAACATTCTTGAATAATGGAAAGTTTCGGAGAAGTACTTTGTCTAAGCTTGACTCGGAGAGTATACTGCTAAGACCTTGCACAAACTTGGGATTTAGAACCAATGGCTTCTTTTGCTGGAAATCAGAAACTAAGCTTAGCATAAGCTTCTTTGCAAGAACTTGACCAGCCTCCCAGCTGAAATACAGAAATCCCAGGAATGAATGATGATCGACATGAGAAGAGCACGAGAATTTCTATGTTTTAGACAAGCACAAACCGGTTGAACTCGTCTGAGTCATGGGCTAGCAGGAAGAACAAGTCATCATCAGAAAGATCGGTTTCAAGACGAACTGGAGCACTGAATCCCCTCAGTAGAGATGGAACTGGCCGCTCGGATACGTCAGTGAACACAAATTCTTCTTCTTTCTGTGCACAAACAAAACACTAAGCTCAGAAAAAAAGGGGACAACTGAAAGGGGGGGGGGGTAGAGAGAGAGAGCAGAAGAGGGAAAATAAAATTATTACAGTACAGCTGACCTCGAAGAGTTGCCAACAGCAGCCCTGTTCCCATTTTCACAATCAGAAGCCAAGGGACTGGGAAGTGAGTCGGATGGGTTGTCACCCACAGAACTTCCACTTGATACAGAAGCAGTCGCCAAGTCAGCCTCAGTACCTGTATAATCGATCCTGCTTGCAGCACTTTGGGGCTTTGGAAGTGGTACAAATGAAGGCTTAGAACTTCTATTCAATCCCGGTCCTTTTGATGCATTAATTCCCGAATCAGTGCGACTCACAATAGGAGGATGCACAGTAGGAAGTGGAAGAGGTAAGGCATGAGACCTTTCTGCAAAGCTCTGACAACGTGATACTTCAGTTGAAGGAGATGGAGATCTTGATGGCACTCGAGAAAGAGCTCCTCTTCCGGGAACAATGTCGTCACAACGTCTACGTGACCCTCTTGACCGACCACTGGACCTATCCTCAGATATTATTCTAAATTTCCGATGCAACGTATCAATAAAACTCTCCTTGTTTGCTTTCTTCTTTTCATCTTTAGACGAAGACTTCCCCCACCAAGAAGGCATAACTATCCCACTAACAAACAAAGATCTGGTTCCAGACTACAAAGTAACCATCCTTTTTAACCACTTCAAAAATCCATCCCTAGCTCAAACCCCAGCCAGGACCACACATGAAAAATAAAAACTCATAGAGGTAAAGGCACCATCTTTATACCGTCGAAGTTGACCAACACAGAGACGCAGCTGAAAATCTGATGATGACAATGTAAAGGCAGAGTCAGAGTTTCAAAAGAATATTTTGATAATGATACTAAAATATACTAAGCATACTTAGCATGTATTGACTTAGAGACAAAATAAACAATCACCAGAACCAATATTCTAACATGGAACACTCTAGGTAATAACCCATCTATTCAACGGGTTTTTTTTACCATCTCATAACAATCAAAATCCGAAAACAATTACAAGAAACAGTATACTACAAAATGTTTTCAAGCCCCAAACCCATAAAATAAAAGAAATTGTTGAACCAGATCAGCTTACTAAGAATTTCAAGTATTTTTGCCGAGTATACTACTTTTTTTTTTTTTTTTTTTTTTGGTAACGCGCAGTATACTACTTTATTACATACTAAGCCATTTCCAGATTTGTAGTCCCACAAAAAGAGCGACATCTTGTACAACCATCAGCCCTAGCTACTCAAGATCCATTCCCAACAGTAAGCTTAGATTTCCACCAGCAGATCTAAACAGACGAATTCCCCATTTCGGAAAACCTACGAAACCAGACACATCGAATCAAAACCTAGGATACAAGGAAACCGAACCATTTAAATCCAATTGCCCAAAACCACGAATCGGGACAGAAACTCAAGATAGTTCGAATCCATGGGAAATTAACCACAACTAGCTGAACCCACAATAGAAACCTCTCAAATTACCAGATTCAGCAGTACGAAGAGGATCGATCAGAAACTCGGAGCACCACGACTCCAGGAAAACGGTGGTATCAGAGTATCAGATCCCTAATCATTGCTCACAAATGAGTTGTACGTACAGCCAAAGAGCTTCAACTCACAGTAGATTCAGCAGTGACAGTCGACGAGAAGACGACGACGACGACGGCGACGACGGCGACGAAGAAGATTAGTAGAGAGAGCGCGTTCGAAGAAAGCATTCACTCTCTGTTTTTCTTCTTGGTGCGTTAATTTTGTAGTAGAGAGTAGATAATCGATAAAAGAAAATGACAATAATTATTTTGATTTAATCATTATTTTTGGGGCTTTTTTTTTTTAAAAAAAAAGGAACGACAGAACAAATTACCGTTGCATCCTGTTATTCTTAAATTCTTCGCTTTCATATCCCCATATTTTCAATTCCTATCGAATGTCACCTTTACTAAACATTTAGTACACCATGCCCTCTACCTTTTTTTTTTTGTTAAAACTCGGGTAGAATTTTAGATCATCAACTATTAAATATTTCACTACTTCTTTTATATTAGAATTCTTGGAATTTATTTAAAATATAATAGTCACACAAGTTAAAATTTATTTTTAAAAAAATTAAATCATTTTTATAAATCTTCAGTTCATTTTTTATTAATAAAATATCCAATTTTTAAAAATTTATAAGATATACTTCAACTGATTATTTTTTAAATATATCAATATTTTATTTTAAATATTTATGTGATAATCTTTATTTTAAACATAATTTCTTTTTGAATGAATTGAAATTTAAAATTAATATCATGAAAATAGTTAATATGATAGACTAAATAGACAAGTGTTCAAAATTTATCATTCTCAGACAAAAATGAAAAATTAGTGTATTTAGTGAATTTTGTGCTTAATAGCTAAATTTCAATTATTAGAATTTTTTCCTGAAAAAAGAACATACCGTTTATCTACCCTCTAACTTGGAAGACTAATGCTTAGCTTAGTAGGAAAATAATGATTATCTACTTATCTTTGTTTTAATTATATGTAAAATGGGTGATATTTGTGATTCTTTACAGAATGGGGGTGAAAGTATAAATATTCGAAAATACAGGATGTATGCTGGAAAAACAAAGAAAAAAAAAAGATCTGAAGGTGGTGCATGCAATAAGAGGACGCACATGATGTGTGCTGACACGTCGGCTGTTGTATTCCAACCGTCGGATCAGAGATGATGACGTAATAAACATAATCATCATATTCTTCAGCAATATTATTATGCAAGTAGGTGGGACCTAACCTGATTTTGGGAAATGATGATAAGCCTAACGGATGAAAATAAATAACCATAATAATTTCTCAAAGGTACGATCTTATAAAATTATAATAAATAGGCGTAACAATTTAACTGTCAATTGCATTCGCCAAACTTGGCATGCTTCATAATTTTTTATATTGAAAATAAAATAACAAAATATCATTAGAAAGATGATGTCTTGAGTCACAAGTAGGATGAGAGACCTTGGTGTAAGTAAATATAAATTATATTTGAAAAGCTCTCCAAGAAGCTGCAGATTATGACAGTGACAGTAAAAAGTAAATACTTTTTACCTCAGTGTAATAAACTAAGCAGCCAAGCTCTTGGAGGCAATCTCGAAGACATTCTCAGACAGTCCATTGGATGACAATATCATCTCCAGTTGCGCCTGCAATAACATAACACCATTATTACACAAAAGATGACTTGCATCTATGCATTGATAATAAAGCCTTAGATCTTGAGAGCTGTGCTATTTTCGAATTGTTCATCACATGCAAATATTTATACCATGTAAACCAAACTAAACCGGGTTAATCCAGACTAAACCTGGTACACATTCTGATGCGAACAGAGCAAAATCTACAAATTATTTTTTTTTATTCACCTTGGAAAGGGCTTGTCGGGTTTCGTCGTAGCGCTTCCACCGCGAAAAGGCCGACACCATTCGAGAGGCCACCTGAAATTTTGACGAAAGAGGGTAACTATGGAGTCCAGAGACAGATACTGGTTTGATGATAGTTTACCTGAGGATTTATTTTGTCTAGCTGGACAACCATATCGCCCAAGAACTTGTAACCAGATCCATCTTTGGCATGGAAATTCACTGGGGAGCTGCGGAATCCTCCGACAAGAGAGAAAACCTGTTCTCCGGAAGAAATTTCCGACATGGGTTAAGCCAAGAAAGCTTCAAATCCGTGGCTGAGAGTTTTAAGTTCACTCACCTTGTTCGGGTTTCGTAGATCAAATGCTGGATGATTCAGGAGTTTCTTGACGTTCTCGACGTTGCCAGGAATGTCAGATGAAGCTTGAAGGCGGAACCATTTGTTAACAACCTGACCAAATCCCAGGAGTCATATAGTCAAATCGAGTAGAATTCATGACAAGATCCAGAAGAGATGGAAACCTAGCAATATGACCCAGAAAGGAAGGAAGATAAGAGCGTAGATGCATACCGAGAAATCGTGTTGCCACTTGCTATAGAAGTCGGCAAGAACTTCATCACGGGTTTCACCAGGGTTCTGTGCTATGGCTGCCAAAGCAGCGAATTGATCAGTCATGTTGGTTGCGGCCTTGTACTCGTTCAAGGCAAGCTCGGTAAATGATGGATCTTCAAGTAACGCAAGATAAGCTATAGAGTTCCAACGCAGAAAAAGAAGGCAAAAAGTTACGATCTGATACATTAAAAAAAAACGAACATTCGCTCAAACAAATTTGCACGGAATATGAACCTAGAGCTGTTTTCTTCAAAGCACGCCTCGCCATGTTAGCATGGTCAAAAACATATGCTTCTGTGCTTCTGTTGTTCTCAACCTGTCAAAAAACAGTGAGAAAATTTCAGGGAGGATCCAAAGAGAAGCCCAATAATTCAAAAGAACAAGAGACAATCACTAGAGCATATTTTAAATTCAAACAAGATTATGTTCGGTTTTATAGTTCATTCAGGATTGAGTTCTGGAATCCTGAGTGCCCGGTACTCGATCTTTAACTATCTGAAGCAGCCGATATGTATACAGAAGATGACTTACTGCCTTTAGAAGCTCAGCTTTTAGTTCAGATGCAAGCTGCTTTCTGACAAACGTTCTAACAGCGTGAACAGCATCGGGATCTGCAACCGTCATCATGTCCATTATCTCTCCCTCACCAGGCAGTGTTATTGCATTGGCAATAAATTCCTAGGCAGCAAAGAACGTATTAATTCCAAAAAAAATCATCAACATTCGTAACATTCTTGAATAATGGAAAGTTTCGGAGAAGTACTTTGTCTAAGCTTGACTCGGAGAGTATACTGCTAAGACCTTGCACAAACTTGGGATTTAGAACCAATGGCTTCTTTTGCTGGAAATCAGAAACTAAGCTTAGCATAAGCTTCTTTGCAAGAACTTGACCAGCCTCCCAGCTGAAATACAGAAATCCCAGGAATGAATGATGATCGACATGAGAAGAGCACGAGAATTTCTATGTTTTAGACAAGCACAAACCGGTTGAACTCGTCTGAGTCATGGGCTAGCAGGAAGAACAAGTCATCATCAGAAAGATCGGTTTCAAGACGAACTGGAGCACTGAATCCCCTCAGTAGAGATGGAACTGGCCGCTCGGATACGTCAGTGAACACAAATTCTTCTTCTTTCTGTGCACAAACAAAACACTAAGCTCAGAAAAAAAGGTGACAACTGAAGGAGAAAAATGCTGGAATATGATGAAATAGCAGCAAACATGAGAATGAACAAGACATGGATCCGAAGAAAATTTTCACAACTGACCTTGGTCACTAGAAGTATTGTGCTGCTGCCTGAAATGGTTTCCAGTGCGCCGTTGTGATAAACAGAAGAAAGTTTCATGTCCTTACCACTCGGGCCCACAAGACCGACAACCACTGGGATAAACATTGGTTCTTTGGTGGGCTGCCCTGGTGTTGGTGGTACTTCTTGACTGCAGAATGTTAACATGCTAAACGGACCGGTGTGGTTTTTCTTTGCATAAGTATTTACAAAAAAATAAAGAAACAAAAAGGCGAGACCAGTGTGTCGATGAGAAAACAAACTAGAAACTATCCTTTACAGCATTGTTTCTGGAGCCATCTAATTCTAGAAGCCCGATATTTCAAAACTAAGGTGGGTCGATGATGTTTATATCTGTTAAGGTACGAGATTCAAAGCAGCGGTTTAAGTAACTCTAATGTAGTCGGCTCAAAATTCATTGTCAGCATATAAACATGGCTAAAACGCAGAGTAGAAGTAGATCAATACCTGAACTTCAAAGAGAAAGTATGGTCTTTGCCATTGTAAGAAGATGTCACTTTGACAACCGGGGTTCCGGCTTGAGAGTACCTAAAAAGTTCCATCACATTAGAAAGCATGAAAACCCAGAGCCATCACTATAAAATTAATATCAAACACCAAAGCAACATACCATAGCAAGAAATTTGCAAAATCTACATTGTTCGCATCTCGCATAGCAGCAAAGAAGTCTTCACAAGTGACAGCTTGCCCGTCATGTCTTTCGAAATAGAGATCCATACCCTGAACCACATGGACAAAATAAAAGTAACCAAAGTAAGTGCACTAGACTGGAAACCTCTCTAAAGAACAAAAGATATACAGACAGCTTTGAAAACCAACCTTTCGAAATCCTTGGCTTCCTAGTAGCGTTTTGTACATCCTCACAACCTCAGCTCCCTAGGGGATCATTTATTAATTAAATAAAAATTCTTGACTGGGATGCAATATAGGAAATGAGATCATTATCGTCGAAGAGCCAAACCTTTTCATAGACCTGGGAACCACAACACAAAACGAACCATTCAGGTTAGATACAAACCAAAAGACAATATATGAATATGTGGAGAAAGGAAACAACAAGGAATAAAAGATTCTTAGGTCATACCGTCGCTGAGAGAGCAGGTGATAGCCAGACGAGAATCAGTTTCGAGCGGGTCACATAAAATCAAAACGTTAGACGGGAATCAAAATGAAGTAGTAGTTTCACGTAATCCCAGATTTGCTAGAGAACAGAAACCAAGATCACAAAATGAATTAGTTTCAGAGGATCCCAAATTTTCTAGAAAACAGAATCTTGCCTGTGTAAAAGTTGTCCATCTGCCACAGAAGGAAAAGAATCAATTCATCACCACCCATATTATGAAGTATATCAACACTTTTGAAAAGAACAACAATAAATAATCTGACCTTGATGTAAGAATGCGGGCGAACAGGATGAGCCATTGGACCGGCATCCTGATAAATTAGAAGACAAAACAACTAGTTATGTCTATTTGATTTGCTTTTGAAAGAACTGCTACAGTTTAAGTAGCAATAAAAAAAAATGAGAAAATCATGCATGAAGGCCTCAAAAGAAGGAAAGAGTGCACAATGAAAGCACCTCTGGGAACTGAAAAATTCGAAGCGTTGAAACATCACCAATGCGTATCACAGTGCGACTTCCCATGTCAGATGAAAACTCCTGGAAAAAAACGCGGCATATTTTTCAGTCAAGAAAGAAAGTCCTGATCAGTACTTTTAGTGAGCGCAAGGTAAACAATACCTGGTCACGGAAGACAGTAAGCCCTTCCTTTAGACTGAGTTGAAACCAGTCACGGCATGTCACCCTGTTGTTTCAGACAGCGTGCAGTATAAAACAATAAGCCTTCTATCAAATTGGGAAATGCATTAACCTTCAAAGAATTTTTTGATTATAAACATCTGGAAAAGGGAGAGAGGAGGGACGGATGAGGTTGACCTGTTCCCTGTCCAGTTGTGGAAATACTGCACATAGGAAAGAATAAGATGTATCATCACTAAAAAAAATAACACAAAACAACAGACAAGGTTTAAGGAATCATTCTATGCTATAACAATTAACAACATACTTCATGGCCGATAACTCCGAGAATTGTAGCATAATTAGCATCTGTTGCAGTTTCCGGAGATGCCAACACAAGCTCGGAATTAAAGACCTGGAAAGAGAAGTCCATGAATTATCTATTGAGACAACTTATGAACATGGATTTCGTTTATTCTAATGATAAAACAAAAGGTCGGGAGACATACATTCAAACTCTTGTTTTCCATGGCACCCCTGAAATATTAACCAGAAGACCAATAAGTTTCCCAAATACCCAGGTGAAGAAAGCAAAAGAAACGGAAGCATATACTTTTCATTTGAAATTTTAGATGACAGAAAATGGAACAATACTATCAAATATCATCGAAGCACTATTTGTTTGTATGTACATGTTAAAATCTGCAACAGCAACAATGTTGAAGAGATCCAGGTCGTATTCGAGGCCAAACACCTGTTAAAGTGTATGCAAGGAAGAGCCGCTTCAGTACCATAAAGCAATATAAATAGATAATGACTAAAATTTGTTGCACTCACATCCTCATCCCACTTCATGGCGGCCTTTAGAGAATACATGGCATGAGCTGTCTTTGGTACATCTTCTGCAAGAGTCCAGATTCGAAGAGATACTTCCCTACCAGAGCGTGTGGTAAATGTGTCATCTCTGCTCACCAGCTGTCCAGCCACCAGTGCGAAGAGATAGGAAGGTTTCTTGAACGGGTCCTCCCATAGTGCATAGTGCCGGCCACCCTATAAATGGAACCAATGAAAAAGTGACTAAACATACAAAGAAGAAACTAAACAGACTTTATTTCGTGTTAGGTCTAATGCTAACCTCAAGATCGCCTTGAGAAATGAGATTTCCATTGGAGAGCAATACAGGATAGAGTGATTTATCAGCTTCAATACGACACGTGTACTTTGCCATAATATCAGGGCGATCCTACTCATCGCATGTTAAAGCACAGCTATAAGAATGTAGGATATATTATACGGACAACGGCCATCTTATCCATTCAAATTCTCCAAAACACCAACCTGGTAAAACGTAATGTTACGGAAACCTTCTGCTTCACACTGTGTGCAAAAGTTCCCAGAGGACTTGTAAAGTCCCTGAAGTGAGAAAGGCAAAGATGTCAGAAGAGTACAGTTAAACCATCGAGATTTTAAAAAATCAGACAAAGCCAAAATCATATGAAAATCAAGAAAACCTGCCTCTAGTGAAGTATTCTTCTGGGGGTATATCTCAGTGTCGATTTCCAAAACAAAGGACTCACTGGCCGGCAGTGAAGGGAGAGTGAGATGGCGAGCATCCAGCTGATAATCTCCTTCCTACAATTGATGAACCAGAAATGAAAAGAGACCAAAGTGAAGAGGCAGCAGAGTCGCTTATGGTAGAAAAAGATCATATATACGAAAGAACTCAAGATACAGAGGTATAGCATTTTAAAAACAGGATAAAGTATCAGTATATCAGATACCTTCAGCACTTTCCCATCAACTTTGAGCGAAAGTAGCTTCAACTCGTGCCCATCCAAGACCAAGGGAGCAGAAGCACCTAATCGAGAGGAGAACTTGTTCAGAATACATATTTTGTGAAATGCAAGTTCCATGAATCGAGCTATACTTAAGAAGCAGGACTACAAGAACCAAAAAAAATTGAATCTTTATCTACAAAAAGAAAAAAAAAATATTGCTTTGAACTGTCAGCCTAGAAATGCAGGAGCATGTACAGAGTGCTGTACCTTTAACTCGAGGAAGAACCTTGATTTTGGAGGTAACAATTGTTTTCTCTTCATCCAGGGAGAAGCTCAGGCCCACCTAAATTGGATACATGAGGAAATTCAATCACGATTAAAAAAAAAACGATTGCGGCGGTATCATATACTCAAGTTGAAAGTTGAGACACGATAACATACGGTGTCGAAGTAGTAATCAGGCATCTTGTAGTCCTTGAGAAATATTTCTTTAGGTGCGACCATTTTTCGATTCTTCAACTTATCAGGAACTGGCTCCTGCCACTTTGCTTAAATCTTTTAAACATAAAACAGGGGATAAACACAAGAAGCCCGATGAGTCTCACATTAATAAATTAGTCGTGATCAGATTGCGTTGTGAAAGAAGAAGAAAGCCACTTGCATTGACGGAAACCGATATTTCCTCGAACAAGTGGCCTGGACAAAGAACAGACAGTCAAGTGACTATTCTCCGTTCAAAAAGATACGAGCTCGTGACAAAAGGATCCAAAGAAACACAAACGTCAGACGCAAGGAACCGCTTGTATTGGGTTTCCTTTTGCAGGCGAACTTCCCGCGAAACAAATACCGGAATACGTATCGATCGGATCAATAGAAACAATCAAAGAACTTGGGCAATGGAGAATCACGGGAGCATGAGAGATCAAACGATTCAAACCCAGGAGGCTGGTCCTCGTTAGAGACGAGCTTTTGCAAGGAAGAATCAATCGAGCCATACGTATAGCAAAATCGTAAAACCCTAAATTCAATCTATCCACAACAACTTAAAGAACCCTAGTGACCCAAAAACTCCGATCGCAGCGAAACCATAAACCCTAGCGGAGATTTATAAGAATTGCCAAAAAAAAAAATCAAATAAACGAAAGGCAAAACAAAAATCTGAATGAAAAATGAAAATAAATCTGGAAAACGTTTGAGAGGCGCAGAGATCATGTATCATCATTACCCAAGTCCAATGATCAAACGAAGAGGAGAAGAACTGAAACACCTGGTACTAATATGTGCGTTTATAGATGAGGGATTACCGATTATATATTTATTTGGAAAAAATGAAAACAATATTTTGATAATAAAAAAAAATTAAACTAAAGAGGACGACAGATTAGGAGATTAAATCCCCTCCGCGAAAATTACGTAAAAAATGGATATTAACGGTTATATTTGAAGGCATCAAGCACCAAAATACACATACTATGATATTAAAATAAAATAATTGAGTATGAGAAAAGTGAGAAAGCTAAAAGTTGGTAGAGACAGACGGTGAATGAAGAATATCTTGTTGTTATTATTCAAATCATCTCCTCCTCATTCTTTGCGATTCTGTTACCTTAATTGCCTCCTCTCACAATGCTAACACACGAAATCGTTATATTATAAAATTACATTTGTCGTTTTCCAATATAATATTCTCTATTAATTTAACCAAGTAGTCTTTTTCTTTTCTTATTTCCTAATCATCTTTTCCACCATATAAAACCCTTGAAGATCCAACAGTGTTTTAAAACGTTTGATTCACATGTTTGTATATGTCCAACCATGGAGTTGGATAGTCAAACATTTCAGCTCTTAAGCTTTGGTTACAAATTATTGTGTAAAACAAAGTGCCACGGTCTAAATACTATATAGATCAATTATATATCTATATATATACATTATAAAATGTATGTATATAAAACAGGAAAAATGATCAAAGATTAGGGAAAACAAAGAAACTTATAAAACCATGAACGAACGAACAAATCAAAAGGGAATACAAAGTTGGTGTTTGCATATACAAAGAACAAATCGTAAGATACCAACAACCGAATCTTCCCCCCCACCTTCCCCTTCACAGAAGTGAATTCTAAAGCAAAACCCTAATTTCCTTCACCTGTGTGGACTTCAACAAGTGTAAACACATTTTACGTGTGTATATATATATATTGAAATGTAATGCAAACCATATATATATATTCATATTCTGTGCATATGGAATGGACCCAATTCTGAATCTCTCCCTAGTTCTGGCTTTTCTTACCATAATTTTTTTTACTTCTCCTTTGCATTCTCAGACAGAATTGAGCGTCCAAAGAACAGCAAGAGACGTACCATTAATTATCGATCGACAACCCTAACCGCGCAAATATGCCATTTCTCGAATTGCTAGTCGAGGGGAGAGTCGAAAACCATTTCCTGCAACAAAGAATACAATGGTATCAGGAATGGTTACATAAACGAATGATGAATTTTGGTAAAACTAACAATGTACTAGCGCTAATCTCACTACCACTTTTAAATCCGTCACTGTAACTTAAAAAATACGATACACATAAAGCTTCACTTATGGAATGGTCAAGCCTAGGGAAAAATCTGTCAGCTTCAAGAAAGCTGAATGCTGTCATCAAGCACCCAAAACTTCAGAGTGTAGTGTAACTAGTGTTTGTTAAATCATCCAAGCCCAAAAATCCTTTAGGTCGATTTGCCTAAAGAAGTGCTGTTGAAAAGGTTTCGTTCTTCCAGCAAGTACCTTGTCGCAGACCGGGCAGGTTTCACTTCTCTCCATCCATTCGAGAATGCATGCCAAGTGAAAATGGTGCTCACATTTTGTCAGAAGTTTTGGGTTCTCGTCGTCATACTCTGTAGCGAGGCAATACAATAATGTACATGCACGGTTATGCAACTGAAAAGATTATATCAAAATTTACAAGACTACTTGTCTGAGGAGAAAAAGATCCATTAGGAAAAGCATGTCTGAGATGTAAAGGCAAAATTACCTTCTAGACAGATGGGACAACAATCTTCCTCCTCAGTCGGAGAAGCATCCTCCATTTTCTTTGAGATTTTGGGGTCTATGTCTTCCATTGATCCAAGATCAATGTCTGTTTCCAACTTACAATCTGCATCTTTATCTGGGAAACTAGTTGGAACCCCGAGAATAACACCGTCGACTGTTTCTTGGGCAGGGTGAGAGTTAGTGGTTCCCACTGGCCCATCTCTTTTATCAGCATAAATTTCCTGAGCTCTTCCTGGGGTTTGAGGATGGCCTAAAGCCACATCGAAAGGGAGAGGTGGGGGAGGTGGTGTATAAGCATCAGGAGATGATGTCTCCAGGTTTGTGTCTACCAGAACAGCAGAGGAGATCGCAGAGGAAGTTCTGTTATGAGAGGACAAAGGAACACGTTCCTCTGTTGCCCTCGGGTACTGCTGCGACAAGATTAAAAAGGGAGATTAACAACGAGGAAAACCTCGATATCTCAAATTTCGACATTGTTAACAGTTTTAGCTAAAAGTGATAATCCCATTTCATATATAAATCTAGATGCTGATCACAACTTTGAGCCTTTTCACGTTAAAAGCATTCAGTGGAGGTTAGAAGCACCCATCACAGATAGAATTACCAACAACCCCATCACCGGATTGTGTAGCACAATTAATTACATGCAGATGACCTTTAGATAAACTCAAAAAATAAAGGCACTGGGAACAGATAATAGATGAGTATGGAATATACGGGAGGTAAGAGTAAGCATCATACTAACATAATAGTATGCAGGTCCGTTATCTACATCAGCTCTTCGTGAAGAACAACAGCAGCAACCTCCCATTTCTTCTTTCTTATTACAAATGCCAAAAATGTAGAAACTTCATCTATGATAACCTACAATCAACATCAGTAACACGAAAGATTGTAACAGGATCAGAGACTGGACATTAGTTACACAGGCACCGTTTCTTTGCAACAAAAGAGACACGCAATTCATTGTTCACGAGGACGCAACCTTAGAGAAACAAAAGCGAGTTCCTTAATATGTGCTAAAAACTTGTTCTCTAATTCGTGCATCAAACACTAACATGATCCACTACACAGAGAGCACGTAACGAGAAGATTCTTGAGTAAAACCAGCCTCGACATCAACACGTTCAGGTGTACTAGATATCTCAGGGCAGCAACCACTGACCGCACTATCTTCTTCCTGTGAAATCCATGTTCAAAGTTCATTGAACAAGCAATCTACCTAAAACAATAACATGTGAATAAAGCAAAACACCTAGTCCAAGTTTCATCAATGCTTAATCCAAACGCGACTTTTTTCATTCAGATATCACATAGATTCTCAGACAATTGTCACGCCAACCACCCACTCTTCTTCAGCCCATACATGCTCTTCAATCTCCAAACATAAGTCTCAAAAACATTCTAACGTATATCAGTTAGATTATGGGAATTAATCCCGCTTTCCTCAAACATCCAAACACAAGCTTATACATAGAAGTGATGAATCAAACCAGATACGCAAGCACTAAAGTGCAGTTTAAGCTCAGACAAGACTTAAAACACAACACAGTTCTCACCAGCTGAGCTTAGTTATTCCAACATCACACAATCAGACATACTACAGAACATCAAATCCAGCCGACAACAAAACTTCCTCTCGCCGTGTATGAGTTAACCAAAACCCTAAGAGAATCACTGGGAGCTGTTCAGTGTTCACACAGAGAACCAAGCTCCACAAAACCCTAAGCGGAACTTCACAAGGAATCAGTCAACATCAAAATTCGGCATCAGAGAAGGAAAACGGATCAAACCTAGCTGGAATCCCCGGAATTCCTCCGAAAAATGGGAAAAAAAACTCAGCTTAGAAAGAGAAAAAGGCAAACAACAACAAAAATACATTAGAAGAATTATCACCAGAAGATCAAAGAGGACGAATCAACTGAATCAGGATAAAGAATCGAAGATCCTCAAAATCAAAAGACGATAAATATATCTCACATACCTGTCTCGGGAGAAACTTTGGTTTCTTTTTGGCGTCCTCTTCTTCTGCGCCTAAGAAACGACTTCCATTGGAAAATGGAAGACCGAGAGAATAAAATATCAGTATACATCACTATTAAGATACTTTTCCTTAATTAATGGACTAATTAATTAAAAATTATATAATTTGTTTTTTAGTAATTACCGAAAAATTCTTAATTGGTTTTAATTCGAATCTCACCCAGCAATATTGATCAATAATCGTATAAACAAGATGGCAATATTTTTCTTAAACCTAAATTAGACTATTAAAACATATTAATGGTTGCATATTTTTAATATTTGAATAAAATCTTAACATTAATACGGTCAAGATTGATACATTTATTTTTAAATTAATATTGTCTTGTCGATTTAATAGATTGCATGTATTTTCAAGGTATTGAAATTCAATCAGCAGGGGAAAAAATAAAGTGAAATGATTTTCGTTTACTTTTCTTTATGAAGACATTTATTTCGTAATGATTGAAAATTATACGCAAGACGTCGTGGAAAATTATGACGTGGATTTCCTTGTAGTATAGACGTGGGTTGTGGTTGTTCTCACACGTGCCGACTACAGTAACCTTTTAGTCACAGTATGTGCCGCCACGTGGCTGGTGGGTCCATACTCTATATTTCTTATTGGGCCTTTTTTCTGGTTATGGGCGTGTTAGATATTTGAGCTTGGGCCTCATATCCTTAACGTGATTTTTTTAGTTCCTCAATATTTGCCGTGATTTTAAGATAATTTAAAAACAATATTTTTTTTATAAGAATTTAAAAACAATATTAATATATTTGCGTTTCACCAAATGGAAAATATAAACTATGGACGTTGATATGATAATGTAAATAGTCAGAGTAGTGTTATTCATATTTTATCTATCTAGTGATTTAGATGGTGTAGTTAGATAAATTATATTAATTTGATAATTGTTTTTTTAGGAAAAAGACTAAAACCAAACCTAAAAGCAGAAATCATGGAAAATATAGCACAAAGGAATGACTTTTCACACTTCTCGATCCCACTTTTCTTTCCTTTTTTTTTTTTTTACTTTGGCGCATCCCAAAACAAAAACCAATAATTTACGACGAGGGAATTGGAAAAAAAAAAAGCAAAAGGTAAAATAAATAAATTAATTAAAAAAAATGTCTTTTATTTTTCAGAAAACAAAAAGGACAACTCCTGCAAAGAGAGAGGACATTGGTCTAGATAGATCACCAACTGTACGACCGGCCCTACAGTACAACCACCCAATTTCCAGACTGTAAGATTAGATTATTTTCTATCCATCCACTAAATTAAATTTAAAATTCCCCCCATTTAAAATAAGGTTTTTCAATTTACACCAAACGGCATATGGTACATAAAATAAGATTTAAAGACAATATTAATTAAAAAAGAGAGAATGGATAGTTGTACTACAAGTTTATAAAATTTGGAATAAAGCAAAAGACAATGTATAGAGATGGTACATGTCAAAGAATGTTTTAAAAAACTAATAAAATTCAACCAATGATTAATAAATCGGGTTTATTTAGGGAGAGAGAGAGAGATATAGTAGCAATCATAATACACCAACCCAAAACCTACCCACAAGCCAATAAATACAAAGATATTTTGTAACAGTTTCAAAGTATATACATTTACATATACATATATATATATATATATAGAGAGAGAGAGAGGGCTAGAACATGGGGAGACAGACAACCACTAATTTATCAGATGGAGATCAAGAGACAAAGATGATGGATCTGTTAAGTCAAATACAAATGTTAGAGATAGTCGATTACGTATACATATACATATATGTGGTATCAATGTCGGTTAATCAATCCTCCATCCGCCTCGATCTTTTGGCCGCCACAACGAAGTCTGATATGACCTGTTCTTCATTCACCCGAGGCTGCAAAAACAAAACGATCAAAGATACGTCCAAATGTTATCTGTGAATGATTATCACCGTATTGTACACCGTATGTACAGAATAAAATACAGAAGAAACGCACCAGTGACGTGAAATGGAGCTGCATGGCATGGAGCATCTGATCCCTTGACGAATCTTGATTGATACCACGCTGCCCATGCACCAAAAAAAAAAAGAACCCACGTGAAAGAAAAAAATCGTACGTAGAAGAATCTCAGAGAAATAGGGAGAGAAGAAAAAAAAGCTCACAAGGTGGAAGTGTCTGCAATATCTTCTCAATGCACTTGATCCCAGTTTCCCAAAGTTCACTCTCTGAATCATAATCCAAATTAAAAAAAATTAAAAAAACTATAACTTTGATGCATATACATATATATATATATATATAACAATGATGGTTTCTGAGTATATTTCTTACTGAACGGAGAATGGATTGAACGTCTCGGTAGCTGCTGCTGCTGCTACGATTTGCTCGAGCAAGTGAAGATGAAATCCATGGCTTTGTCTGTCTGATTCTTGCCGGTCTGCTCATCCTGTGGAACCCTAATCCAGTATCTGCACACAAAACCCACACTGTAACGATCCAAACACAACAGCTTTGTAGTATTGGAAATGAGTGTTTCCTGAAACATCGTACCGAAATCATGTTCCTTGTCTGCAATAATATCCGATCCGCTGCTGAACATATCGATCTCCTCCTCGTCATCCTCTAGCTCGTCCCCGGTCGGATGCTCCAGCACGCTCAATGCATTTCTCTGGAGTTTCACCTCAATCCCATTTTTCAGAACCTTACCCACAGAACAGTGAATGAACAACCAGACATGGATGTTAACATGGTTTTTGAAACATCATTAGTCAAGATTTCGAGTGGAGAGACAAAGAGGATTAGTCCAAAGACTTAAACAAATCAAAAGAATTAGTGGGCACCTAAAATGATTAAAGCATACAACGAATATGATGTTGAGAGACAAACAAAAGAATGAAAAGACAGAGAATTTGATTATCCATCCATCACAAACCCAATTTATCCAATACGGGGCACAGAGAACGAGATTATAACAAAAAAAAAGGTTTTTTTTTACATATATATATATATTTACCAGCCAGTGCCAGCCGCCAAGACCAACAGCTTTCTTCACCACGCCTTGTAAACCCACCAACACAGATTTAGTTCTGTTGTTCCCTGTGACAATCACTTTGGTATGGCGAGGGAGAACCGACAGTTCTTCGTCTCCGCACTCTTCACGGAACGCAGAGAAAACCCTAGTTGAGCTCAGGACAGGCTCCAACATTTTTTCCACTCCCCTGAATCAATGAACTGATCTCAAACAAGATTCTATTACAACAAAGGCGGTCTCTTTCTTCTGTTCTTTGAGATTCTTGTATTCCCCCCCTGTAAAGCTGGAATCTTTCCTGCCAAATTCTATGAATCGGATGTGATCTTCTCCATTTTTCTTTATCCGAGCAAATCTTTAGTATTCCAGCAGTTTCCGCTACAGGAAGAACCCCCTGCGAGTTCATGAATTGCTCAAAACAAACAAAAAGGAAATAAAAGATTGGATGGAATTCAAGTGATTAGAGAAGCCATTATCCAATATGCGAACAAAAGGGCATTTGCCTATCAGTGGCCTCGGGAACCGATCCGAGGAGTGAGAATTTTCTGAGCTTGGACTGAATCGAAACTCGTAAAGAATTATAATAATAATTATTATATTTCGATGATTATTCGGAAGCAAAATTAAATATTTTGGTGGAGGAAGAAAATGGCCGAAGCATTGCACAGGGAAAATCAATCAGAGAAACAAACGCAATTACGGAAGAAAACCAACGAAACGGGAGAACATAGTAAAATCAGAGTAATGAGATTAAGTGAGATTCAACAGAAAAATGGCAACTTTTTGAGTTAGAGGAGCTAATAACATCATATTTTCCCGAGAAAATAACACATAATTACCAGGAAAATGGCGAGAAAACTGATTTCGAACTGAAAAATGCGAAATTCTTGACACCAGTCTGATCAGATCAAACACCAAAAACCGAAATCGGAATCTCAATCGAAATGCAACAGAGACTAGAGAGAATTAAACGGGAAAAAGGGATCAAAATACCTTTTCCAAGCTCGAAAAAATCTGACAAAGATTTGAAATTTGAGTAGGAATCGCACAGCTTTTGAGAGAGAGAAGAGAGAGTGAAGTGACGAGAGAGAGAGAGAGAGAGGGAGAGAGAAGCGCACTAAATGCTTACGAACTGCCAAAGGGGAGGAGACCGGCAATGTGCCGTACGGCACGGGAAAAAGGGATCAAAATACCTTTTCCAAGCTCGAAAAAATCTGACAAAGATTTGAAATTTGAGTAGGAATCGCACAGCTTTTGAGAGAGAGAAGAGAGAGTGAAGTGACGAGAGAGAGAGAGAGAGAGGGAGAGAGAAGCGCACTAAATGCTTACGAACTGCCAAAGGGGAGGAGACCGGCAATGTGCCGTACGGCCATGCTTTGGCTACCGGCTCACCCCGTTCCCCGGTCATTTATTAAAATTCAGCGATCTATTTCTTGTTCCCCCCCCC